CATGCAAGGAGGCGGCAACACAGCGGCCCGAAAAGTTCGAGCCCCAAGCTCCTGGACCTGACCAGGAGTGAAATGCTTGAGCCAAGGAGGAGGAGGAGGAGGACGAGGAGGAGGAGGAGGAGGAGGAGGACGAGGACGAGGAGGAGGAGGAGGACGTGGACGAGGCCAGGGCCCGTCGGGTTATGATGCTCCAACCTACTTTAGCCTTGAGCAACAGGAAGAACTAAGACGACGCGAAGATCGGGGCAAAATCGGATCGGGATAACTCGAAATCTCTGAGAAGCGGCGGGTTTGGAGGATGTATTGGGCGCCGCGGCCGCTCCAGAGCGTTCCGGAACGCTCTGAGAGCGCTCCGGAACGCTCTGGAGCGATTTATCCCGATCGTAGCCCTGTTTTACCGTCGGGTTATGATGCTCCAATCTACTTTAGCTTTGATCAACAGGAAGAATTTCTCGAGTGCCCAAAAAAAGTCCCCCCAGACTCAAGGGTCTTCGCGTGTCGGGCCCCGGGAGAGACTCGCCCGACACTGCTCCGACACTGTTTCGACACTCTTTTGACACTTTTCCGGGTGCTGGAAATTATTTCCGGGATGCGGTCCTTAAGTAGGCCGGGAACATCATAACCGTCGGTGCATTTCGGGGGGGCGGACCCAGGCCCTCTCGATAAAGGAGAGCATCGGAAGCTGCAACATTTGTTACCAGTGGCGGGTTTTGTTTCAATCCCACGACTTTTGGAGGGTCGGGGACGACGTCGGGTTGGTGTGGTGTATACTTCTCCCCCGTTTTCCCAGGGAAACAGCGAAAAATGTACACACCAGGATCCCGTATACACAAGGATCCGCGTTCCTGTGCGAATAGCGCAGGGTCGGAAAACGCGTCGGTGTATAGAGCTCGTTTCCCTAACAAATCATGACGGGAGGTTTGTCGCCAGTTTCGGCTTCTGGGGACTGGTTCCTTCACATCCTGAGTCGCTTTTTGACGGTCCCGAGGCCTGGTAAGGGCCCCCGGAAGTCGAAAATAGCAGACAGCCAAGGCCCCCTCGATAAATGAAAAATTCATGACGGAAGGTTTTTCGCCAGTTTCGGCCTCTGGGGACCCTTACCGGGCCGCAGTGCCGTCAAACAAAACGACTCGGGATGAAACGCCGGTGTGGGGAATAGGTCGACACCCTTGGGGGTCGACGTCATGCACATATCATGACGTCGGGGGTCTGGGAACATTGACATAAACATGAACGCCCGGAGGTCCGCGCGGATTGCTCGGATCGCCGCTGGACCCCCCCCAGCGGCGCCTCCGGCGCCGCCTTTGCGCGCCGAGGAGGGGTGTCCAGCGCCGATCCGAGAAACCCGCGCGGACCTCCGAGGTTTTATGTCTATGCCATTGTTCGTTCCCCTCGCATTGGTCGGCCGGGGCTCCAAAGAGGCGGGGGTCGAGGCAAGGGGGGGTTCGCCAGAGCGCCAGCTCTTGCAGCAGCCTGAATGGTCGGGGTCGCAAGGACCCAGGCTTGGGCGCAGGATCCTGCAGGACTGGTCCGGAATCCCGTCGAGTTCGGCTTCATCCCGTTTAATCTGGCTTGCTTGGCTCCAACAAAAGGTTCCTTGGAAACTCGCAAGAGGAATTATATGTATGTAAACCCGTCGGCATGATGAAAAGTCGCGCGCGCGTGCTCAGCGTTCGCACGCACGCGATCCTAAGACGTCCCATGGCCACAACATGCTTCCAGGAATGCCTCAGGCCACGGACGATAACGTCCAGAGGACCCAGGATGATGCCACCCCAACGCGATCCCGCCATGGATTCTGGACCGTCTCAGGCCGACTCGCAGATGACGAAACACATGAGCAACGCGTGACGCCGAGATGGCCCGATGGCAACAAGATGGATCCAAGCGCACCCAGGGTGGCCTCATAATGACCACGCGATGGTTGCGTGATCCAAACATGACCGGGATATGATCTCAAGATGACCTCAAGACGACCGCAACACGGCAATAATTCTACAACTTATGAGCCCCATCTTACTTCGAGCCGATCCCAGCATGGTGGAATCCGTCAACGGCCCGGGATTTTGGTCTACCCCATTTTTAATGGGTGGGATTTTGATCGTCCTGAACTAAACTTATAATACTAAAGCGGAATAAGCCAGGCGGGATCCCGCCCGGCCCACGGAGGAAGACAACATTGCTAGGCTTCTACGGGGGTAGGGGGTTCGGAAGGGGCGTCGTTTACTTCCGCTGACATTGGCAAGCCGTCCGGCGGCCTTCCCCCGTCTTCCGCCTCGTTTTACTTCCGTCGACTTCCGCCGGCCAGCGTCGTGATGAAAATTCCAGGAACTTTCATTGGGCCGATGCAGTCCCGCTTAATCCGCGGCCTTCTTTGGCCGAACAGCCCCCCAATGGGGCGTAATTCTCCTTCTAGTCCTTCCGACAAAGACCTCCCAGTAGTTGTTTTCTAAAGTACGGTGGGGGCGTTGGTTAAGGAATGTGCCCAGGAGGCTTCGCATCCTGGGGGATTCCTTATCTGATGACAGCGGCAGTGATATCCACGGCCAGTCCACGGTCGGAGTTCCACTGTCTTCCAGACCCTGGATTCCTTATCTAAGGTTTCCTTGTCCATTCCACCATATGTCTCTCATCATTGGCTCCCCGCGGGCGAGTGCCAAGGTGAAGTGCCCCCGAGCAGACGTGGGGCCAGGGGCCCCTCGCGTTGTGGCTGTGGCTTGTGCGCCCTCCGCTCGCGGGGCGTCCAGCCGGGTGTGCTCGCGTTTTGGAGCAACTTCTGAGTCGGGGGTGGACAGAAACCCCACCCTGACACGTCGACTAGAGAATTGTCCGTTCTCGGTTCTCGAGAGGGAACCGCGGCCGTCATTTTCCAGGCTGGCGCCCGCCAGGTTTGGGCCCGAGGTCGTTTTCTCTAAGCCACGTTTTGCTAAAGGGGGTTCTTGTCCATCTTCGAGTGAGGTATATCGCATTTGTCGGCCTCTCGGGGCCCTCGACAGGCCCCAGGACCTGCGCAGAACGACAGACCCTGGTCATCGGATGGTGGAACTTTCGGATTGTGACCAGCGAGATCGGTCGATACCGATTTGGCTTGAACTTCTGGCATCGGTCGCGGACGATTTTCTTCTAAACTCGGGTGCGACCGGTCGGTCGCGACCGGTCGGCCGATGTCGGAGTCGGTCGCGACCGGTCGGGGCCAGCGACCGAGACGCTCGTGCATCCAACGTTCTGGGCGCGTCGTGGAGCGTTGCGTGCGGCCCCCTCAGCAGTTCGAGGAAGGCGGCCTGGGGCAGCGGTGGTCGGCCCTCGGGGAGGGCCCCTCGTCGCCGTGGCCGGTCGCAGCTCCGAGGGCTTGTGCGTTGGGAGCCCGGGAGGGGTCCAGGGATCGATCTGGGGCTGCCGGTTGTCTCAACTCGCTCTGCTCCAGTAAACCAGTCGGAAACTGGAACATACACATGACAAGTGGCGGGCTGTTTTCCAATCCTAGGACGTTTCGAGGGTCGGGCACGACGTCGGGGTGGTGTGGCGTATGCCTTGGAATTCGTTTCCCTGGGGAACAACAGAACATCTATACACCCGCCCCGCGTGTACAACAGGATCTGCTTCCTTGTGCAAATTGTAGTGCAGGGCCGATCCCGGGCCAGGATCAGTGAGGTTGTCACGTTGACGTTCCCCGGTCTTGTGGGCCTCTGGGAAGTTCTTCGCCGCCACGGTTCAGTCGGGCATATCTGTATGCAGGGGGACTATCCAAATATAGTCAAACAATAGTCTGCATACGATTTTTCAATTATTTTTTGATTGGCCCCATAAGGAGCTCCACCCAAGGCCCCAGTGGCTGCGTTCGCATGCGGTTCCATTCTCCATTTCGGCACACCCCTCCCACGTTCAGTGTCCCCATAGGGAGCGCCATCGAAGTTCCCTGAGGCTGCGTTGGCATGCAGTTCCACCTCCATTTTCGGCACGCCCCTCCCACGTTTCGTGGCCCCATAGGAAACTCCACCGAAGGCCCCAGTGGCTGCGTTCGCATGCGGTTCCACCTCAATTTGGGCACACTTCTCACACGGGAGCTCCACCGGAAGCCTCAGTGGTTGCGTTTGCATGCGGTTCCACCCCTCATTTCGGCACACCCTGCACACGCTTCGTGGCCGCATAGGGAGCGCCACCGAAGGCCCCAGTGGCTGCGTTCGCATGCGGTTCAAACTTTCATTTCGGCACACCCCTCGCACGTTCCGTGTCCCCATAGGGAGCGCCACCGAAGTCCCCCGAGGCTGCGTTGGCATGCGGTTCCACCTCCATTTTCGGCACGCCCCTCCCGCGTTTCGTGGTCCCATAGGAAGCTCCACCGAAGGCCCAGTGGCTGCGCTCGCAGTCGACTTGTGAGCTCCGACGAAGGACAGAATCACAATTGCGGCATTCACAATTGCATATGGTTGGGTCTTTCGCCAGGATACCGGAATATTTTCCCAATTTCTTTTTTCTCTCCCGATGTCCGCCTATAGGGGGACATGCCCGCCCTAACGCCAAGGCCGGATTCCTTCCGGAATTCTGGGCAGAGCGCACCCCACGCAGGCCCAGATCAGGCCCTGGATGGAGGATGCCGACGACCCTTTGCGTCGTGCGCCAAATCACTCAATGGGGGGGGTGAGGCATTGCTGGGCCCTTGGGGCATCAGAGAGCGACTCAGAGTGAAGAGCTGGTCCCAGGGGAAGGGCTCAACGATCTAAGCCTCCCAAATGGGGCCCGTGTAAACGGGGTCGAAGGATCGTCCCGCATCGTCGGTGCGGGGCTCGATGTGAAGCTATAGGGTTTCTCCACGCCGATGGCGCCGATGCATCGCCGATGTCACCGATGCATCGCAGATGCATCGCCGATGCATTGGCGATTCATTGGCGATGCTGCGCGATTCTCCGACCCATCATCTACTCGGACCCCGTCTTGGAGGCAAGACCTCCGTGGGAGGCCAACGTTGTCAACAGATCACGGCGTCTTATGGCTGCGGGGAGGCCAAGGCGAAGACGTCGGCCGCGCAGGCGCGATACGACGCGCGGTCGGTCGCCAGGCCGGTGGACCGGGAGGCCTTAGAGAGGGCGTCGGCTGAGCTTGCGGAGCAGAAGGCGCCGGGGGAGCATACTGTAAGCGAGGCGCATTTGGGGCCGTTTTCGGGCCCCGGGCCAATCAAATCCAGATACGGGGTGAACAATTACACCAGAAGGACTCCGGTCCGGGGATCGATTTTGAGTGGAGTTTTGCTCCCCCCCCTGGACCGGTGTCCTATAGGCCACCCCCAACTGCCGGGTGCACTTTGTGAAGTGGTCGCAGCCCTTCTGAGAGTCTAGCCCTCCTAGATGGCGTCCGAGCAGAGGGGTCCGAGGAGCGCGCCGTATCGCCGATGCATCGCCTATGCGGCGCGATGTGGATCCCGAGCTTCCCCACGCCGACGTCGCCGATGCACCGGGGACGTCGACGATGCAACGTCGATGCATCGCCAACATATCGCCAATCTATCGGCAATGCGGCGCGATCCTCCGACCCTATCCACTCGGAGCCCATGCAAGAGGCCTCCAGAGAGGGAGAGGAGGAGGAGAAGGAAGAAGAGAAGGATGAGGAGGAGGAGGAGGAATGGGGGAGGAGGAGGAGGAGGAGGAATGAGGAGGAGGAGGAGGAGGAGGAGGAGGAGGAGGAGGAGGAGGAGGAGGAGGAGGAGGCCAGGGGCGGCGACCGCTCTGTGCAAGCTCGTGGCAGCCAGGACAAGGGGTCCGAGTCGGGGTATTCCAGCGCTGGCGTCCTGCGCTGCCCCCGCCCAGGATGGAGATCGGGCGAGGTGCGGTGGGCCCGCTGATCCCCACACGGCGTGGTCGTGTCGGCCCGCTTGCTCGCTCCCAGCATCATCGGGCCTGTGTTTCCCAACCGTCCTGTGGTGCTGCGTCACCTGCGTTCTCCTCCCGCCTCCTTCCTCCCGCCCCCTTCTTTCCTTCCTCCCATCCCTGCCTCTGCCCTAGGCGCTCCGCATGTCCTGATCGTCATCGTCATCATCATCATCATCATCATCATCATCATCATCAGCAGCAGCAGCAGCATCATCATTACCATTATCATCCTCATCATCATCATCATCATCACCATCATCATCATAATCCTCCTCCTCATCATCATCGTCATCATCATCATCATCATCATCATCATCATCATCATCACCATCATCATCATCAGCAGCAGCATCATCATCGTCATCATCATTATCATCATCAGCAGTTTCATCATCATCATCATCATCATCATCATCATCATCAGCATCATCATCATCAGCATCCCATCATTCTCATCCATGCGCCCCCCCATCGATTTCGGCACACCCCTTACACGCTTCGTGGCCTCATAGGGAGCTCCGCCGAAGGCCTTAGTAGCAGCGCCCGCATGGCACCACCGCGCACGTTTCGGCACGCCCCTTACACGCGTCGTGGCCGTAGAGGGAGCTCCACCGAAGGCCCAAATCGCAGCGCCCGCGTAGGGCCACCGCGCACGTTTCGGCAAGCCCTTCATACGTTTCGCGGCCGTAGAGGCAGCTCCACCGAAGGCCCCAATGGCAGCGCCCGCATGGCACCACCGCGCACGTTTCGGCACACCCCGCACACACTTCGCAGCCGTAGAGGGAGCTTTTCCGACGGCCCCAGTGGCAGCGCCCGCATGGCACAACTGCGCATGTTTCGGCACGCCTCACAGGTTTCGCGGCCGCAGAGGGAGCTCCACCGAGGGCCCCAGAGGCAGCGCCCGCATGGCACCACCGCGCACGTTTCGGCACGCCCCTCCCACGTTTCGCGGCCGTAGAGGGAGCTCCACCGAGGGCCCCAGAGGCAGCGCCCGCATGGCACCACCGCGCATGCTCCGGCATGCCTCTCACACGTTTCGTGCCCATAGAGGGAGCTCCACCGACGGCCCCAATGGCAGCGCCCGCATGGCACCAGCGCACCCGCTCGGGCACACCCATCACATGTTTCGTGATCCACAGTGAGCTCCACCTGAAGCCCCAGAGGCAGCGCCCTCATGGCACCACCGCGCCCGTTTCAGCTCACCCCTCACACGTTTCGGGCCCCATAGAGAGCCCCGCCGAAGGCCCCAGTGGCAGCGCCCGCATGGCACCACCGCGCACGTTCCGGCATGCCCCTCACAGGTTTCGCGGCCGTAGAGGGAGCTCCACCGAAGGCCCCATTGGCAGCGCCCGCATAAGACCACCGTACCCTTTTCGGCACACCCCTCGCGCGTTTCTCGCCCCATAGGTAGTTCCACCGAAGAGGATACGCACCACCGCGGTACTCACAACATCATATATGTTGGCTTTTCGCCAGGATAAGTATCGCGTGTGTTCGCGAGGGTCCTTCCCTGGCGCCCGAGTCACACGCAGCGCGCGAAGTTTGCGATATGAAGCCCAGGAGCGACCACTATGGGACCTCTCGTGTGCGATCTCCCGTCGCCGTTGCTTACCAGCTTTCTCCGTATGGGTCTGTCCATCCTCTGTGCCCACCCCAGATCCGTACTCCTTAGTTCTGTATCCCCCCCCGGCCCAGTATTTGCTCTCCACTTCACGTTTCTCCTCCCCTCCTCCCCGTCATTTTGCATCCGCCGCTCTTTGTCTCACTTCCCTTTCCCCTCCGCCCCCCCTATCGCCATCATCTCTCTACCTCATTCCCCTTCATGCCCATCCTTCCCTCTACCTCCTTTCCCTTCGTGCCCGTCCTTCCCGTTCCCCCCCTCCCTGTCATGATCCAAACGACTCCAGTTAACACCACCGATCAGCAAATATCTGGTCACCACCCTTCTGGTCTCCAATGTTCTTACTGATCAGAAGAAGGGTGTACTTGCTAAGCGCTCCCCCTCTGGAGCCCCAAAAGTCGCCTCTTGGAGCCCTCCTCTGGCGTTCTTGGGCTCTCTTGGGCGCTCTTGGGCCGCCTTGGGGCCATCTCGGCCCCCTCTTGGGGCCATGGTGGGCCCTCTTGGAGCCATCTGGGGGCCTCGAGTGCCCATCAGAAGCGAAAGGGTGAGAGGGGCAGTACCATTGATTTGTCGTGGTGTTTGAAGGGTTGGGGCCTCGTGGGGGCCTCCTTGGGAGGCTCCGAGGCCACTTGGACCCGTCTGGGACTGGTATTGGGTTCTCTTGGGCTACGTATCTTGGAGTATCTTGGAGATCATTTTGTACTCTCGCAAGCCCTCTGGCAGCCATCTGAGCCCAATTCGACTCTCAGGAACTTCGCGGTGCTCGCCAAGCCTTGCAGGCTAAACTTCAAGATCTACAGGCCGAGCTTCGCGGGCAGCCAATTTTGCGAAGTGTTCCCTCTTCCCACCATCTGCGGAGACCGACTGGTAGAGGCCATTCCTAGACTGCGAGCAGCGACAGCTCTCAAGCGGATGCGGTATTGTGTAAGAGACGGGCCGTGATCGGTTGAAGGGTTCGAACGGGTCTTATGTTGGAACACTGAACGTCCGGAAGAGTATGAGGCCAATACTCCTACAACGTTCAAGTTCAAGGCCGCTAGAATTGGAATAGCGGAGGAAGTTTGGATAATATCCAGCGGCGAAGACATTCCGAATACCCGGAGCGTGTGTGAACTGTTGGTGGATTCCCGCATTGGGTCCGAATTTCCCCGAATATGTTTGTTGTTGTTGTTATTGTTGTTGTTGTTGTTGTTGTTGTTGTTGTTGTTGTTGTTGTTGTTGTTGTTTTGTTCAAGTTGTCTTCCAAAATTGGTTCGGACTTGCTGCTCAAACTTCTTTGTCATTTTCGAACCCGCCCTGTAGTTCTGAACTTTTTCGAATCATTGCTTTCCTCGGTTATCGAACTCGACCGTCTAGCCTTTCCTTTGCCCTAACCCAAGCCGTAACTTCAGATCCTGTCCAGGAAGGTCCATCCTTGCCCCCATTAGCCAATTACGAGACACTGGCTCCAACCAAGCCCACCGTACAGCATGATCGGCATTACTGCAGCCAGCATTGTATCTGGCTACGTCGACGCCGCCAATCATAGGAATTTCGGTGCACGGCATACCAAGCAGCCAGGATTCGTAGGACAATGAATGCGTGGCAGGCAGCCAGCATTTGCGACCACAACCACGGCAACTACGACCGCGAAAACGGCAAGTACGACCACCGATGCCGCCTGTATGTGATCATAGAGGTACCTTCCCCTGGTTTGGCTGGGTCCCCACATGACGTTTGCATTCAGAATTACGACGGCACCTGAGCTACGCGGGGCCCCGAAACTATTGCCACGCAGGCTGCGACGGCTACGACGGCTACTTGGGCTATGGCTACAACGGCCCGTAGCCGTTTCCACGGCGTCTACATCCCAGACGAGGTGGGACGGGATTGGTTCCGGGTGTCCCCTCTCCCTCAGACCCGGCGTCCCGCAATTGGGTGGGCGACAACCCCGAGGAGAAGAGGGAACTACGAGCCGCCGCTGTGCTACCAGGGCTCCGGGCGACCAGAGAACCGGCAGACCCACGAAATCCACAGGCAGAATTTCGAGGGCTTCGCGCAATGCCGCGAGAGCCACCTGCATAGCTCGGGAAACCATTGGCAGGGCTTCGAGAGCCCACAGCAGAGGTACAACGGCCACGAGCAGGAATGCCAGAGCGATGAGCAGAACCACGTGGGCCACCTGCAGCGTTACACGGGCCACTAGCAGAGCCAGGAGGGCCACGCGCCGAAATTGCTGGGCAGCGCTCAGGGCTTCGGTGGCCACCAGCTGGGCTGCGAGATATCCCAGCTAAGCCATGGGGGCTTCACGCTGAGCTGCGAGGGCCACAGGCAAAGCTACGAGAGCCACCAGGCGAGCTACCAGGTCCACCAGCTGAGCTACGAGAGCCACCAGAAGAGCTTCAAAGGCAACGACTGGAGCGACGAGGCCCGCAAAAAGAGCTGCGAGGGCCACAAGTCACACGCAGGGCCACCAGGACCATTAGCTGAAATACGACGACCACAAGCGGAGCTACGCAGGCTACAACTTGCTGAGCTACGCGTGACACAGACAGAGCTACGAGAGCCCTCAGCAGAGCGGCCAGCGCCACGAGCCGAAGTACAGTGACCACGCGCAGAGCCTCTGGATACACCGCGGCAGCTTCGAGGACCATGCGCTGAGCTGCGAGGGCAGCAAGCCGAGCTACGAGGGCCGCGAGCTGAGCTACGAGGGCCACAAGCAGGGCAACGCGGCCCACTGGCTGAGCTACAAGGGCCACCCGCTGAGCTTCGAGGGCCGCGAGAAGGTTTCCGAGAGCCGCCAACTGAACTGCGAGAGCTACCAGCTGAGCCACGAGGTCAACATGATGAGCTTCGAGGGCTGCATGTTGAGCTGCGAGGGCCACCAGCTGAGCTACGACGACGGTCGCGAGCTGAGCTGCGCAGGCAAAGGGCTGAGCCTCCCAAGCCGGACTCGCCCGAGGAGAACGAGAGGATCGACGAGCAAAGCGAGCCCATCTAATCATATGCGCTGTATTCGAGGGTTTGAACTTCCTCAGGTCCATGATGGGCGAGGTTTGGTCCATCACGGAGGACTCGGCCACCACAGCCACCGCACAAACCCGCGAGCCCCGCTCAGAACAAGCCCCACGACACGATGGCACGCATGGGCATGTCATGAGCGCTTGCGGCCAGTACGAGAGCGGGGCACCATACGGTCCGAAGGTTGAGCCCATCTCGAGCCAACATCGGCGCTCTTGTCCGCCCGCGACCACTGCGAGGCGCACAAGGACCAGATATGTGTGGGCCAGCGGGCCACGCCATGTTCCGATACAGAGCTGCGATGGCGGCAAGAGGACGTGCCAACCAGCATCGACGAATCATCAGACGGCGTCGCGGACGGGAATGATTTCCCGAAGGAAATCATGTGGAAGGCACGGTATTCTGATCTGAGCAGCCGAGCCCGAGTTGAAGGCGAGACCGGCCAGCCTGACATCGGACGGCGACGTGGATTGGGACGGCCGCTACATGTGGCCAGCCCTGGAGCCGCCTGTGCTCAAAATGGTGCGTTCTTTGTTGATACCTCGTGCAGGCACGGTTTGGAGGCGTCCTCTCGGGGTCCTGGGGGATGGGGCCCTTCATACCCTCCCGTGGGATGCCGCGTACCAGGGCCCCCGCGGCCGGGCCCAAGCGAGCTACCAGCATGCCTAGAGTCAACGCGACTTGCTTCTTTTGTCCCGAATTTTTTAGAAAGTGAAGCCTCCATATGTCTTCCTCGGCATGCTGCGGGGGGTGAATGGGGGAGGTCGATAGGTTACGTCCGATGACTTTGGAAGGCGAACCAATCTGTTCGAGGGGTCGTGAGGGCGAGGGAGGGTGGCCGGAGAGGGGTTGTGCGAGGAGGTGGAAAGGGAGGAGAGGGACGCGAAGGAAAGACGAGTATAAGGAAGGAGACAATTCAGGAGAAGGCTTGTCACGGGCCTGCCCCAGGCGCTTCTGCGGCAGCTCGAGCAGGAGCTGAAAAAGAGCAAAGCCAGCGAGGCATCTCTGGAGGAGAGACTGCTGGAGCAACAAGAAGGCTGCGACGCTGAGGCGGAGGTGATGCAGGCAGAGGTCAGGGCTGCGTCTCGAACTCCAATCCGCGACCACCGCCTCCCCCCCGGCCGTCTGCTAGCGTGGCGACCGAATCTTGACTTTGAGGCACGCTGGCGCCAGCATTCCGACCGAGCTGTCTGTCCTTCGAATGGTCTTGCTTGGGGTCGCACGCAGACAGCCCCCAACGCCCCCCGGGCAATCCCGGCTGGCCACAACGGGCCTCCCAAGCATAGCCCTGGGGCAGTGTTCAGGAGGGAAAGAAACACACAGACACAATTAATCGTCGGCTCCCCAGAAAATGTACGAAAATATGGGAAGTGGGGGGGAAGACAAACACCCAAAAAATATGGGGAAATGTGGGGAATCTTTTTTATTTGTGTGTATTTATTTGTGTGTTTGTGGGCCCCTTTAAGTGGATCACTGGGGCGCGGATCACCCCCAGGGGCGCCGCCAGAGGCGGCGCCATGGTGCCGAGACGTGTCCTGGACGGCTCGCGGGGCCTGGACGACCTGGGGGGGGGGCTGGCTGTGCGCCGCCCGAAGCCTCACCATCCTTTGGCTCTAGTCTTACGTCGGGCATGTGCCTTTGCATGAGGAGTCTTCCAACATAGTCTTAGAAACAGTCTGGGGACGGTTTGTTCACCATTGTTGTCTACCTGCCTATTTTTGGATATGTTTTGACCAGGTTTGTTTTCGTCATGCCCGACCTAACTCTGATTCGGGGGCGGCAAAGAGGGGGTTGATGACTAGGGGGGGGGATGTCATGGCGGGGGCCATGATATCTCCCCAGATTTCCTGGTGCCTCGTCTTGTTTCATTACGTCCCTGGCTCCCCCGCTGGGCCGCGCACATGCCGCCGGTCATGATTTGCACACACCCCTCTTGGACACCCCCCTCTTGGCCGCTCCCGACTAATATCTCGCGCGCCGCCCCTGCCTGAGCCGTGAGGCAGAGGCAGCGAGGCGCGCGGCGGAGGCGAGGCAGCGTGAGCTCACGGCGAGCCTCGAGGGCAGGGGCGAGGAGGTCAGCAGGGCGGAGGCGAGGCAACGTCAGCTGGAGGCCCTGCTGGAAAGCAAGGAGCTCAAGGGCAACGCTCGGGGGGGGGAGATAGGCCTCAGGGGGGGGACACTGTACGAGGCCCGGAGGTTCTAGGTTTGTGGGCGTTTTCTTCGGGACGGTTTTCCATCCTCGGGATGCTTTCCAGCGGCTGCGCCTGGCCGCAGGGACGCCCGGGGCTGTCCAGATCGTCCCGAACGGCCGCCAGAGAGCCGAGGTATGGCTTGAAAACCAGGGTGCGCTGGTGCATTGTCAGGGGGGGATAGGCTCTTCTGGGGGATGCGTCGACCCCGAACCGCCCTTTCATCGCCGATAGGTGCCCTATAGCCCACTCCGCCCAGGAACGCGCGTCAGTCGGCGATGTATCAATGATTCCAGCTCGATGTTTCCCTCCCTGACCTGGTCCCCCCTTAAGGAGGGCAAGGAGCGCGAGATGGAGGCCTTGCTGGAACGCAAGGGTCGGGAGCTCAGGGTGCCCGTCGGCGTGGCGACGACGCCGACCGAGCGAGGCTGATGAGCGTACTGGCCACCAGCTCGATGCCGTGCGATCTCAGCAGCGGCGCCGCCCTGTCCTTGGCCAGATTGCCGATGGGCATGCTCTCATTGTGTGGACGAGTCGGGGCTACAGTTGACAGGGCTCACAGGTGCTTTCTCGCCCCCGATCCCGGGTTCCCCCCCTAGATCGCCTGATCGTTGATAAGGGAAGGAGTGCTCGGGGATAGAGCTCACAGGCAACACTATTCGGACGCACCCCTGTCTAGGTTTCACGACCCCCTATCGTCCATCCCCGACTTGGCACACAATCGCTTGGCCGATCAAGATTCCCACCAAGTCGGGGATTGGGATCGGCATGCCTCCTGGCAACGGCTTCGCGGCCTGTTCTACGAAGACGGGGAGTCTGCCCCCCTGCGCCACGCCCTTGTGCGCTCTTGGGTGCCCACACGCCGACGGTTGGGTTGGGGTGGTTGGCAGGTCGGTTTTCTCCCGGGCAGGTCGCACGAGGACGCTGAACTATCAGCTTAGGAGCTCCAGATGACTGGCCGGTGGCAGGTCGCAGGTGAGTGTGGACTTGGGCGCGAGACCATCAGTGGCTCATCCGCCAGAGCGCAGTGCTCGGTCTGCCAGTCCTCCGCACTGTCCTGCTCCTGCTCCTCCATCTCTGCATCCTCCCCGCGTCCTGGAGCCGCCCAGGAGCGTGCAGGAACCGAGCCAAGGACGCCGCACCTCACTGAGGTCGGGTCCTGGCGCATTCCCCAGCCTGCCCGAGGCGAAGAACGACGGTCCGCAAAGTTATAACAGCAGGTGAACATCGGGTCCTAGACGATGGATTCGTCAGCCCCAGTTCACCAGCCTGGGACACATCCCTATCCCTATGCTGGGCACCTCTCCATCACGATGCCAATCTTAGGGATTCCCTTGTCTTTGGAGGGCGACTCCCTGAGACTGTCATCGCCTTTTGGCGTGTCGATCTTAGGGATAGGGGTACGTCCGAGGCTGGTAATCAGTGGTGCCTCTCCCCGTCTGGCGTCGCCAGCTTGCCTGCGGCGCCCTGCAGCGAGCTCAGGCCGAGAGCTCGCGGAGGCGGAGAGGTCCGCGGCGGAGGCGGAGAGGCCGGCCCCATGTGCAAGAGCCGCGGGGCCTCCTGCCAGTCTCGGGTCCCGGCGCCCAGGAGGCGAGGAGCTCCCGCGATTTCTCGCGGCGCCACCCTCGGCGATTTCTCGCGGCGCCACCCTCCTCCTCCTCCTCCTCCTCCTCCTCCTCCTCCTCCTCCTCCTCCTCCTCCTCCTCCTCCTCCTCCTCCTCCTCCTCCTCCCTCCTCCTCCTTCTCCTCCTCCTCCTCCTCCTCCTCCTCCCTCTCCTCCTCCTCCTCCTCCTCCTCCTCCTCCTCCTCATCCTCCCTCCTCCTCCTCCTCCTCCTCCTCCTCCTCCTCCTACTCCTCCTCCTCCTTAGGGAGGAGGGAGTGCCCAGGCTGAACGAAAGGGGGGGGATTGGGAAAGGGGGGGGTACGAAATATGCTGCATGCAGCTGGTTTCGGCTCCGCCAAGGGGCCCATTCCTCGATACATAGCCGCCTCCGGGCGCCGGGAGGCGCCAGGAAAATCAGCTACGTGAGCCGATTCTCAACCCCTCCCTTTGCTATCCCCCCCTTTCGCCCGGCCCGAACCCTGGGCACGCGTCTCGCGTCCACCTTCGGCCCGGCTCTGAGCTCCTCCGATTCGACTGCAGTCCTGGCAGTGCCAGGCTCAAGTCGGGCGTGTCCCTCTACAGAAGAAATGTTCCAGAGTAGTCAAAACATAGTCGGTGGACGAGTTTGGATCATTTTTCAATTTTTCTGCGAAAATCCCCCCTGTATACGGACATGCCCAACTTAGTGCGAGGCCCCAGCGCCCATGAGGCGGTGGGGCTCCGTGACTTCTCGCGGCGCCGCCCTTGGAACACCCCCCGAACCCATTTTCGGCCCCGCTTTCAGCTCCTCCAGTTTTCAAAAAAAAACGCCGGCAGCCCTGGTAATTAGTTAGTGCCCTTGCCCCGGCGCACATGAGACCGGAAGATTCAGTGGCGGGGCTCAGGAGACGGGGGTCAACGCAAACGGGGGTCAGCCAGAGCGCTCGATTTTGCAGGATTTTGCAGGGCCAGGGTCGCATTGACCTGGGCTTGGGCGCAGGATCCTGCAGGATCTTGCAGGATTCTTCGCATTGACCCGGGTCTGGGCGCAGGATCTTGCAGTCTTGCAGAATTGTGCAAGGCCGGACTGGATTGACCCGGGTCAGGAGATTCCCAATCAGTGGGCCCTCACGAATTTTAGGTCGGGCATGTCCCTCTGCAGGGGCAGCATGGAAAAAGTGACAAGCAATAGTCTGGGGATGATTGTTCGATCATTTGACTGTTCTAATCTGTTTGGCTGTGTTTTGAGCATTGCTTGCGTATTTGTTTGCTTTCGTCCAAGGCCCGCCTGTGGGGGGGGCATGCCCGACCTAACACTAGCTGGCACTTTGGCAGCCCACCGAGCGTCCCCACTCTTGGGGCCTCCTCTCGAGCACTCTATCTAGCAAGACCCCCTCATCGGGAAGGGTCGGGCTCACTTGGCCGCCTGCCACACGCCCCATCTAGTCTTAGTCATACGCCATGAAAAGACAGGTCCACGCCGGCCAAGCATATTGGCGTGGACCTGTCTTTTCATGGTGCATGCCGGTGTTTGTTGTCGGTCGGGCGTTTCCTCCTGCAGGCTGATTTTGGACGAGAAGTGAACCATATGCAAAAATAGTCAACAATTATCCATCAAATCGTCCCCTGATTATCTTTAAGCTATTTTAGAATATTCCGCCTGTAGAGGGACATGCCTGAACTTTAGTGAGTCTCGTCAGGGGACCCTGAAGTGTCCAAGGACTTCTCACGGCGCCACTCCCTGGGGGGGCCTCCCCTTCCCAGCCGCCCTGAGATGGGTGCTCGTTTAGGGAAACCTCCTCGGGGCCCTCCTAACGGATCTGCTCGTCTCAAGCTCGACCCCCAGCTCGGCTCAGGCGCGACTCAATCTCGACGCGGGTCGCCGGACGTTCGCCGCAGCATCGACGCACGAGTGGAGCGAGTGGCTCCAGAAAGGTCCCCCGAACGAGCATGCAACGCGATCATCGGCTTCCCCTGTCCGTCCCCCAGGGCGCGGGCGGCTGCGGACGCGCGCTACGGCGGGATGCTCGCCATGCTCAAGGCCCTGAGGGGCTGAAAGTCGACCGGCTGCCGCCTTCCTCCGGATGAGGGGGAGGAGGAGCAGGAGGAGGAGCATCATGGATGGTGATGATGGTGATGATGATGACGATGGCTATGTTGATGATGTTGGTGATGTTGATGATGATGCTGATGATGATGCGGACGATGCCGATAAGCATGATGATTATAGTGGCGATGTTATTGGCGATGTTCACGGTGCTCAGGGTGATGAAGATGACGATAGATATGAATATGACGGCGATTCATACTATGATGATGACGATTATGTAATATGGTTATGTTGAGGATGTTGGAATTGATTATGCGGTGGATGATGCTAATGATTATGATGCTGTTGCAACTGCTGGTGCTGGTGCTGACGCTGATGCTGCTGATGGTTGCGGTGGATATGGTGAGGGTGAGGGTGAGGGTGGTTGTGCTGGTGATGCTGGTGATGATGGTGATGCTGATGATGATGTGGATGATACAGATGTTGATGATGACAATGCGTTGGAGGTTGAGGATGCCTATGATGACTATGACCATGGTAATGGTGACGATGCTGATTATGGTGATGGTGATGATGCTGGTGACACTGGTGATAATGCTGAAGATGAGGATGATGATGATGCTGATGCTGATGCTGATGCTGATGATGATGATGATGATGATGATGATGATGGTGATGATGATGATGATGATGATGATGATGATGATGATGCTATGATGATAACAGCCATGCTGATGAGGATGCTGCTGATGATGCTGCTGCTGCTGATGATGATGATGATGATGATGCTGATGCTGCTGCTGATGATGCTGATGATGCTGATGGTGCTGATGGTGTGATGTTGTCGCGTGGGTGTCGACCGAAGGGCAAGCAACGTCTATGTGGGCACAGGCGGAGGGCCGACTACGCGGGTGTCCAGCACCAGCATGGACTTCGCAGCACCCTCCGGCGAGGAGCAAACTGCCCCACGCACTACAGGCCTGGAGGAACCGAGCCGGTGATGGCCAATGGACGCCATCGCCCACAGGGCGGGAGCGCCGCGAAGGAGCCACCGCCCGAGGGAGCCGCCACCCCTCCGCTTGGTCGAGCGCCTTCCTGTCGTCCTACAGATCGTCCATGGTCGCTCTGCGCTTCGCCCGCGTGGGACCCGCCGCACGTGTGCGCCTGCGCGGGAGCCGCCGCGCGAACGCCGCCGCCGCAGGAACCGCCTCTGCTTGCGTAGGAGCCGCCTGCGTGGGAGCCGCCGCACATAGGAGCCGCCTGCGCAGGACACGCCGCCGTGGGCGTCGCCTCGGGAACCCCCGCAGTGGGAGGCGCCGCAGTGGGAACCGCCGCCGCGGGAAGCGCATCTGCGGGAACCGCCGCCGTGGGAGACGCGTCCGTGGGAGCCGCCGCCTCGGGAGCCGCCGTGGGGGCCGCCGCCGTGGGAAACGCATCCGGGGGAGCTGCCTCCGTGGGGGCCGCCGCCGTGGGAACCGCCGCCGTGGGAACCGCCGCCGTGGGAACCGCTTCCGTTGGAGCCGCTGCCGCGGGAATTGCCGTTGTGGGAGTCTTTTCCCGTGCGGAAGCCGCTTCCGTGGGAGCCGCCGCCGTGGGAGCCGCCAAGGCGCAGTGATAGCTACGTGAGGGGACTCGCTTCGAGGAGTCGCGGTGGTAGGAGCCGCCGCCGTGGTGCTCGTGGGAACCACCACCACGGGAGCCAACTCCATTGGAGCCGCCGCCGTGGGAACCGCCGTTGTGGTAGCCGCTTCCGTGGGAGCCGCCACCGCGGGAACCGCCCTGATGGGGGCCGCCGCCGCGGGAGCCGCATCCCAGGGAACCGCCGCTGTGGGAGCCGCCTCCGTGGGAGCCGCCGCCGTGGGAGCCGCCTCCGTGGGAGCCGCCGTCTTGGGAGCCGCCGCCCTGGAGCCGCCGCCGTGGGAGGCGCCGCCGCGGGAGGCGCCGCCGTGGGAGCCGCTTCCGAGAGAGCCTCTTCCGTGGGAGCCGCCGCTGGAAGTGGGCCGCCCAGCGCCGCAAGTGGGGGCCGCCACGAGCGGGGCCGAAGTTGGACTCCACAAAGCGAAGGGAAAGATGACGTGCTGGCACCAGATGGACAGGCCGAGCCAACAGACTGCCTGGCGCCGATGCCGCCCGCGTACAGGGGACACCTGTAGCGCGAGGGGAAGATGTGGGCGCTCGGGAGCGTGAGCGTGAACGTATACTGCTGCACTGCTTGTTGCCAGGAAGCCAGATCAGGTACAGGAAGATGACTTGTGGTCGCGTGGGTGCCGCAGGACAAGCACTGTCTACGTGGGCATAGGCGGAGAGCGGACCACGCTGGTGTCCAGCACCAGCATGGATATCGCAGTGCAGTGCGGCGATTGTTGCTGAACCCCGCCGCGTGCCGCAGCACATGCGAATGAGACGGGGACGACTTGCCCTAGGTACTGCAGGCCCGGTGGAGACTACACCGTGATGATGATGGTGATGATCCTGATGATGACGATAATGACGATGCTTGTCGTGATGATGATGCTGATCCTGATGATGATGGTGGTGATGATGCGGGTGATGGTGGTGATGAGGATAGCAATCATGACCATGAACATGATATTGGTCATGAGTGTCATCATGTTGTTAGTGAGGCTGGTGCTGCTGCTCGGGATGGTGGTGGTGATGATGACGAGGAGGAAGAGGAGGAGGAGGAGGAGGAGGAGGAGGAGGAGGAGGAGGAGGAGGAGGAGGAGGACCAGGAGGAGGAGGACCAGGAGGAATGAGAGAAGGGGAGAGCACGAGTAGGTGCAATAGGGGCGAAGTAGAGGATGACCAGGAATAATGGTCAAATCGTCACAAGCACAAGCGCGTTCCCGATGTCTTGCGTGACGACTGGGAACCCAGCGGGGTGAGGAACATTCGAGGCACACGGAAGGCAGTGGGGCCATCCTGGAAGTGGTGCGGTGCATTACTTGTGTGTGCCCCGGGGCTCCCTGCGCACATCGCACAAGCGAGGACGCTCGAAACAACTCCGCGCTCGGACCTCTTTGGGCCCGCGCCCGAGCGATCCCGAGCGCCCCGCAGGAGGATGATGATGATGATGAGGAGGAGGAGGAGGAGGAGGAGGAGGAGGAGGAGGAGGAGGAGGAGGAGGAGGGGGGGGGGGGATGAGGAGGAGCAGGAGGAGGATGAGGAGGAGGAGGAGGAGGAGGAGGAGGAGGAGGAGGAGCAGGAGGAGCGCGCAGGTCGTGGGCGACCGGGCCCAGGAGGCCACTGGCGGCGAGCCTCTGCCGGACCTGGCCGCGCAGCGCGAGGCCGCCCGGGAGGCGACGCGCGCCAACGAGCGGGCCGCCGCAGAAGCGGAGGAGGACTCAGAGCCCCGAATCATCAGGGGTAACTCGGGTCAGGGCTAACTCGGGTTTGTTTTTCGGGAATCCGAACCCGAGTTATCCCGGACCCGAGTTACCCCGGATATTTCGGGCGTCCAGAGCCCCGAATCATAAGGGGTAACTCGGGTCAGGGCTAACTCGGGTTCGTTTTTCGGGAATCCGAACCCGAGTTATCCCGGACCCGAGTTACCCCGGATATTTCGGGCGTCCAGAGCCCCGAATCCTAAGGGGTAACTCGGGTCAGGGCTAACTCGGGTTTGTTTATCGGGAACCCAAACCCGAGTTACCCCGGACCCGAGTTACCCCGGATACCTCGGGCGTCCAAAGGACCCGCCCCGCCCGGGGTGGCGGCTCGGCGCCGGCGGAGTGGGTGCGGTAGGCTCGCGTCGTGCAAGCCGTGGCGGAGCGTCCCGGCGTGCCTATAGCTCAACAAAAAGCAAGGTTCTAAGAACCTTTGTGTCGCTCCCGCGAAAAGTTCTTAGAACATTTCTGGCGGAGTCTATTCTGTTTTAACACATCGGGTTCATGTTCTAAGAACATTGTTTATGTTATTAGAACATGTTTGGGTTCTAGGAACATTTCGTGGTAGGACTCTAGGAATGCCGGGACGGTCTGTCCCTGCTCAAGTCGTGTCGACCGGCGGCGGGGCAACGATCGCGGGAGATAGGCATGGGAGGGACGCATCGGCCCCCCATCGCCGATGGGGGCCTGATATGTCAAGGAGGAAGAGCCACCCGGACCCGCCAAGTGGCGTTCACCAAGCGGCCGTGGGCGTCTACGAAGCAGCCCTGCCCTGTTCGGTTCCTTCTGCGGGTGCGTTTGCGAAACAGCTTCGCATCTCGGGATGGTCATTATGGGGCTGGATTTTCTGCCCTCTACGATAGCCCCAACCTGCCCAGGAAGGTTCGGATTCATTATCAGGGGCCAATCGCCGATCTATCGGCGATGCATCGCCGATTCCAGCCCGATGCATTCCCCCCTATGCCAGTCCCCCCCCCATCGCTGCCCCCCACAGACGCCGCCGGGGACCCAGAGTCGGTCGAGGTTGAACCATCTGCCGTTTCGGAAGCGGTCGATTGTTCCAGGATGAACGATCCCCGCGGTGTCAGAATCAACGCCGGAGCCGGTACGACACGGACCTGCAATACGGGAAGATGGGGCAAGAAAACCGACATCATGTCCTGCCCAATTGGAACAGGGTTCGCAGTCGGCGTTGCTACGGACGTTGCCCATTTGAGGCTGAAGGCCGCCTGCCCAGCAGCGGCCGCTCTCGGTCTTGGACTACATTTGCTCTTGGGCACCGTGCCCATTTTTCCGTACCCGTTGCAGGTGTCCAAGACAGATGGCCTCGATACCAGATCCGCCGTATTCATATGCGATTCCGCGAGTGGGGCGGGAATTCCAGGCCTACTGTTCGAGCCCCTCTGATGTTGCCACACCTTTGATGTCCACCTACAGTCGATGTTTCCGCCCAGTTTTGCCGTCGTTGTTTCCGATTTGTCTTTGCGGAAATGTGTCCGCCTTATCGAAGACGCGTACGGCCAATCACCGTCGCCCCCTTGTCCTTTGGAATCGCCCATGTGGCCGAACGTCGTGGCAAGAAGTCTGACAATCATCAGACCATGTGTTCCCCCAGCCGCTGTGAAAACCCTTCGGGTAACACGCGGGGGAGCAAGAAAAAGTGGAGGAGAGGGAAGAAATATAGAGAGGATGAGGACGAGGACGAGGACGAGGAGGAGGAGAAGGAGGAGGAGGAGGAGGAGGAGGGCCTGCTGGAGGCCTTTTCGAGGCCTTTTGGAAGCCTCCTTAAGCCTTTTGGGGGCGTTTGGGGCCTTCTCGGGTGCCTGATTGGCTTTCGTAGGGCATCCTGCAAAAATCTTTGATGTTGGCCTCTTCGGGCCTTCCTTCCTGGAGGTCTCTTGGAAGCGCTCTTGGGGGCCTCCTCTCGGGGGCAGTTCTGGAGCTTGGTGGGGGGCTTCTGGGAGGCCATTTGAAGTCTCTTTGGGGCTTCTTCGGGCTTCACTGAAGCCTCCTGGGAGCTCTTGGCAGCCTCTTGGGGCCTCTTTGGAGCATCCGGGGGGCCTCCCGGGGCCGAGGGCTCGAAACGTACACTCGGGTCCCCCGTCGGGGCACGCCATTGGGGCCGTCTGGGGTGCCTTTTGGGACCGTTTTGAGCGCCTCTTGGGCAGTTTGGGGGCCATCTTGTGCCGATTGGGGGCTCTCTTCTTGGAGGCCTCTCGGGTCGTCGTGGGGCGATCTTGGGGCCTCTTGGTCCGTCCTGGAGCGTCGCGAGGCCGCCCATTTTCCAAGAACCTCAAGACAAAATATTTATGCTTGCCTCTCGGGAGGCCTCTGGAGGCCTCGTGGGAATTGTATACGCCTTACTTTCTGGGGCGGAGACATCCACTCTATTTGTTCGCATTGTCTGGGATGCATTTCCGCCACAAGTTCTGGCTCAGAAAATCCACCAAAGTACGGCGGATCCGAGGCCAGGGGAGGGACATCCCGCTCAGAGGCGGCCGATTTGAGACAGCGGGCGTTGACCTTCGGGGGGGGGGGCCCTCGTCGCCGCGGCTGGACGCAGCTCCGCAAACTGGCGCCTGGTTCCGCAGACCGGTTTCGAGCTGCCGTCGTCTCAGCTCGCCGCCCTGCTCCCACCCACGTCCTCCCCCCTCCGTGCCCGTTTCGATCCCATCGATCCGAATTCGGTATCGATGCCGGCTGGCTCGATCCGTTTCGGCTTTCTTACTCAATAGTATTTCCGGCGATCTGACGCAGCCCAGTGCTTGCTTGCATGCCGCTGCTGCGCACTCTGCTCGATTGCGACCCCGCACCGATGCGTCCCGCTTCGATACAAGATCCGATCTCGTCTTGAGACTTGAACCTGACCGCTCCTGCCTCTCGGCGTCGGCTTCCCGGGAGGAGATCAAGCTGGCGCGAGGCTCTCCGCAGGGACAAAATTTGGATCTTTGCGGGGGCGCAGAAACGAGGAGCCGGGCGCGGAGGGGGAGGAGAGAGGAGGAGGGCGGGAAGGGTGAGGGGGCGTCTCAATGGGAGTCCACGCCATCAGATGAGTCGTGTGTCCCCACGCTTCTGGAGATGCACGCGCAACTGGGTCCGCATTGGGTATCTCGCAGGTCCCAAACGCAGAGTCCATGGACACGTTTTGGGCTTCGGGGCTGTACACTTTGTTTTTTATCCGTATTCGAGAGTTCTTTGATTTTTTGGGGGTTTGGGGGCAAGATCCTTTCACTTCTAATTCCTCTGTCCTGGGCCTCTTCCTGGCCCTCAGGGGGCCGGGAAGAATTTGAACCGAGAGCAGTTAGACATGAGCACGATTAGAAATGAACGACGTGTATCTCGTAGGTCCCAAACGCAGAATCCATGGACACGTTTTGGGCTTCGGGGCTGCATCTGTTGGCCGAGCCATCGGGACTGTCGGCCTGGAGCTCGCAGGGTGCGCACGGGCAGCCGTTGGGGAGAAAGGGCAGGCGCAGCACAGGGCGCCCTTGGGCTGCACGGGCGCTTTCAGAGTCCATCTTGCGGGGCCCCCTGGGTGGTCTTGGGGCTCTCTTGGGGACCTTGAGGGCCGTCTGAGCGCCAACTTGGGCCCATTTGGGGTCCTCTTGGGCCGCTCTTGGGCCATCTTTGCGCCCTCGTGGGCCGTCCTGGGGCCATCTTGCTGCCCTCCTGGGCTGTCTTGAAGCCATCTTGTCTTGGAGGCTTCTGGGGCTGTCTCGAGCCGACGAAAGATCAAACCGGCGAGAATTTGAAGCCATCCTGGGTCGTCATGGAGGCCTTTCGAGCCGTCTCGAGGCCATTTTGAACCATTTTGGGCAGTCCTGGAGGCCTCTTGGCCCATCTTGGCGGCCTTTCTGGCGTGTCCGGTCCATATTCCGCAGACGGGCTAACGGCGATGTAGGTAACGGTGATGTAGGTTTCGGCATTGCGGGGGCGCGTGGCTCACGCTTTCCTGCAATTCGCTGCGTCGTGCTCGCTCGACCCGTTCGCGGATTGGAGGTGTAGGAAAGTGTGGTTCGTGATTTCCTACCATCTGGTTCCCAACATCACCGTTAACGCAACATCGTTATTAGCCCAGCCTTGGATATTGGAGGCCATCTTGGGCTTTTGCTGACGCCTCGGAGAGCGCCAGGGAGAGGCGCCTTGGCCGCCCAGGAAGCCCCAGGAAGGGGTGGTGCGCGCAGCCGAGAGCGGCGAGGGAGGGGGCTCGTGGACGCCTGCAAGGAGCCCTGCCAGGCAGCACGCGGCATCATTCCACGCCTCAGCGCGCGCAGGCACGGTGGCGGATAGGGAGAAGAGAGAGAGAGAGAGAACAAAAAAAAGAAAAAGAATCAGGAGCGAAAGAAGGGCGCACACGTACATGAATCCACGCTGGTTTTGAGTGTTCGCATTGCGCGAATGTTCGTATTACGCGGCCGGTCTCGCGGGTCAAGGGGCCGTGTTCATGTACATAGCTGGGCGCGTACATTCTTTGTGGGTTCCCTAACAGACATACGGCGGCGGCATTGGATAAGGAACGCCTTCCAGGGCCCAAACCCGGGTGCATTCTTTTTTTTTTAAAGGCGAGGCGGGTGGCCCACGTTTGGCCGCCCATTGGGGTCGCGAGACCCTGGATTCCTTGCCGAAGGCATCCTGACCTAAAACCTCCGCCGTACATTCCCACAGAGCAGGGAGGTCAGAGGGAGCAGACGGGGTGTATGGTCAAAAGTAGATAGTACCGTGCACACAGCAGAGGGTCGAGGTCAGAGTGCAGGGCGCAGGGTGCATGGCGAAGAACGCTACGAGCCTACGGCATGCAGCAGAGATCAGCGCCTGGAGCGGCGAGACCAGAGCGGGGAGTATCGAGCGGGGTGCAGATGTCGAGCGTAGAAGCGCAGGGCGCAGAGAAGATCGAATGTATACATATATATGTATATATACACACATATATATATCATATTAAACCGTGCAGAACAGAGGGGAAAGCTGATAGGGTAGATAGCAGCTATCAGTACACGCGTCATCATGTGATGCTGCCCCTTACCAGCTCGCACACACGAGCTAAGACCCTTTGCGACTGGGTTTGGACCCCACACAGCATGGGCCCCTGCGGAGGCAGAGTGGCACAGATGCGGGCCTCTCTGGACAGCGAGATGCTGGAAGATCGAGGCGCTCTGCTGGAGGCGGCGAAAGCGCGAGTGAAGACACTGAACAAGGCTTTGCGAGGCATCGCGAAAGACACCGGCGCCTACGACGCCGGCAATCTGTTCGGCTTTCTTGACAGTCGGAGTGGGGAAGAGCTTGTGCAGGATATCTTGACCCGCGTCGACGCGCTCAAGAAGAAGGGGCGCCAGTGACAGTCACGTCCGCTCCCTGTATCGGGCACAGGGGTCTAGCCGCTATGCCATGATATTCCTTCTCTTCCCTTTGCTCCCATCTCTCAGGAGGGGACAAAACACACAGACACAATTAATCGTCGATCCCCAGGAAAATATGGGAAAATATGGGAACATATGGGAAGTGGGGGGAAGACAAAAACCCAGAAACTATAGGAATTTATGGGGAGTATTTTTATTTGTGTGTATTTATTTGTGTATCCTGGGGCCCCTTGAATCTCATCCTTCCTCCCTTGGGGCAGGACTGGCGGGGGGAAGCAGGAAGCCAAGCATGGTTGGTAGGATCCCGAGCCAGGTTGCGTCTATTCGGTCGCTTCGCTCACTCCGCCGGCCAGTATTGTGTACTCCAGATTTCGTAATAAAAGGGAGGGGGTCTGGACCCTCCAAGACAAGCCATTTCAGACCCCCCCCGTGGGAGAACCCTCCAAAACATCGTCCACAGACCCCCCCAGGCCCTCCAAGATAGCCTGGAAGAGACCCCCCCCGAAATGAGACCCCCCTCCCTTTATTACGAAATCTGGAGTAGTCGTTGGCACTTGCCTGTGGGTTATCGGGGGCGGAGATGCTGGTGGGTGGCGGTCGTCTTCCTGAGCTGTCGCGTGAACATCGTTCGGGGAGAAGCGGTGGCAGGGTAGTTGCAAGGCCACACTCGACGGAACACGCACCTGCCACCGTGCCTGGGTCGTGGGTCATTTTCGAACTGGATACCTCTCGGGTTCTCGTGGGATGCCTCCCGAGTTGGCTCTTGGATGCTTCTTGAGGGCCTCCTAGTGGCTTTGGGGTGCCTTCTTGGCGCATCTATGGGGCCTCTCGGGGGTCTCTTGGGGACTTCTCGAGGGTTGATCGGAAGCCCTTGGGTCCCCTCGTGGATTTCTGACAGGATCTTTGGCGCCTGCTGGACGTATCGAATGCATCTCAACGGCCCTTGGGGGGTGGAGTTCTTGGGCCATCTGGGGGCCCTCTTGGGCCGTCTTGGGGCTCTCTTTGGGGCATCTGGGACCGTTTGGAGCGATCTCGGGGTCTCTTGGGCCGTCGTGGGCTGTCGCACGCTTGGAAAAGTGAGACCGCTGAGACGTGACAAAACAAGCTGTAGAAAATTAAGGATCTGTGCATTTTGGGGCCCCCGGGCTATCTTGGGGACTCCCAGGGCAGTCCTGATGCCATCCCGGGTCGTCTTAGAGCCTTTGGGGAGCGCCTGGGGCCCTCCTGAGGGTCCCCCGCAGCCCGCGCGCCCGGGAGTCCCGGCATTCCGTGGCCCAAACTTGCCAGGAGTTGCCCAGGGTTGATTCTTCTGGGGACCCCCAGGGACCGCCCTTCGCGCGCGATTCAGGAATGTGCAGACAGTACCGGGACTTCTTACAGTCGGGGCGCTGAAGAAGGAACCCTTTTCGTTGGGGAGGGGCTCGGTGTTCCTTGATTGTTGTGCAATTTGCCTTAGGTTTCCCTACGGTTTTCCATGGGAAATCGAAATTAACTTTTGGAAAAAGGGGCGTCGTTCCCTATTTAGGGTTCCTTAGGTAAACGCCCCGACTGTATTGGATGTTCAGCACGCCTGTGGCCTGTTGAGCCGACGGATTTTTCGTTGCCGGCAAAAGTAGGCTTGTGAACCAGTGGATCTGCATCCGAGGCGCCTGCGGCGAAGCACCGCCCCCCCCCCTGCCTCTTGGACGCGCCACTTCGGCCAAACGTTGGGCCAATGTTTGGCCAAGCTACCAGACTCTGTGTTTCCCCAGCCGTTGTGGACCCCCTTGAGTGAACACCTGCGACAGAAGGAAAACGGAGGAGATGAGGGAGGAGAAGGAAGACGTGGAGGACCAGGAGGAGGAGGAGGAGGAGGAGGAGGAGAAGGAGGAGGAGAATGAGGACTCTTGGGGCCGTCTTGTGGCTCCTGAGGTCTTCCTGTGAGCTTTTTTGGGGGCCCCCGAGGGGCCTTTTGAAGGCTTCCCAGGGCCTCCTGTAGCCTCCTCTTGGGGGCCTTTTGGGGACTTCTTGCTTTTCCGAGGCCGTGTCTGGGGCCTCCTTCGGGCAGTCGTTGGTCTCCCCTCTGTGGGCGCTTCGGGGCCGCCTTGGGGGTCTGTGGGGCCCCCCCGGCTCGGGGCCGTCCTGGGAGCCTCTGCTGGGTAGTCTTGGGGCCGTCTGGCGGGCCGTGTTGGTAGGGGTTCGCATGTGGCCCCCTAGTTGGGGCACTATTTGGCCGTCTTGGGGCTCCTGACGGTCCCCCGGGGGCCCGCTGAGAGCCCCCCCCCCCGAGGCCGAAGACTGCCCCCGTCGTCGTCGTCTTGGCGTCGTCGTCGTTTCCGTCGTCGCTGTCGCCGTGGTCGTTCTTCCTCTTCTCTCGACGTCGTCGGCCGTCGTCGGCGTCTCGTCGTCGTCCCTCCTTTTTCGTCGCCGTCGTCGTCGTCGCCGTCGTCTTCCCTCCTCCCTCGTCGCTGTCGTTGTCGGCGTCGTCGTCCTCCCTCCTTCTTCGTCCATTTTGCTTCCGGCTACACGCTCGAAGAGCGAACCCGGGTAAGAGTGACCTTTGGCGCGCGGCCTTTGGAAGGCACGGAGGGGGCCACCAAACACACGAGCGCGCAGGGCGCTGCTCGCGCCTCGCGCTGGGGCCGCACCAAAGGGCACTCGGGCGGAGAGCCACTCCTGCGCGCAGCCGTGGCCGTCTAGGAGCGGCGGCGGCCCGAAGATGCAAGAGCGCTCGAAAGTTATAGCAACGCAAACTACGGATAATCAGCGATACTTGCATCCCGGAGATCCTCCCCGGCCATCTGCTTTCGAGGCCGTCGTGGGGCCGTCTTGGGTGCATCTTGGGCAGTCTTGGGCACATCTCGGGGCCAACTCGGGCTCTCTTGGGGCCATCATCGCCGTCTTGCAGACCATGTTGGCCGTCTTTGAGGCCACCTTGCTTGGGGTCGCCATGAGAAGGACAACCCATGACCTGGAGGGTTCCGAAAGGCCGGCTTGTCACTGGAAAGGCTTTGAATGCACCCAAACAAGCCAATGACTGGCACGCCGTGCACCACTGTGGCACGTCACAGGGGGCGGCGGATGTATAGTGGCCTTCGGCCCACACCGCTACAGCACCTGGATTGTAGGTCAGACTGTTGTGCCTATGGGGATCTCTTTGGAGGCCTCTGGGAAGCGTCTTTGAGTCGGGTTTGAGGTCTTGGGGTTTTTCTGGGCCCTGTCGCCGTCTTGGGGTCTTTCTGGGCCTCTCCGGGGCATCCTGGAGCTTCTTGGGGGCCTCTTGGGGGGCCTGCTGGCGGTCTCGTGGGTAATCTTGGGGTGGAGGGCTGGACATGCAATTTCGAGTTCCCCCTCTTGGGGTCGTTTTTGAAGCCGTCTTGCGGCTTTCTCGGACCGTCTTGCAGGACTCCTGGTGGCCTCTTGAGCCGTTTTCAGAAGATCTCGCTTCTGAGGCCGCCTCGGAGCGTCGGAAGCTCGACAAGGCAGGATCGCTGACGATCCGAACACGATGCTTGTTCTTAGGGGCCCTCACTTGTTTTGCTAAGGAACTGGGCTTCGCTCCGCTGCTGGGTCCCGCCGCCTTGTGGTCGCCGTCGCCGACCCGTCGCCGCCTTGTCGCCGCCCGTCGTCCGGCCTCCTTCTGGTCAGGGTCGCCGCCCCGTCGCCGCCCGCGCCGCCCCGTCGCCGCAGCCTTGTTTTGCAGCGCTGCTTCGCACTGCTTTGAACTGCTGTGCATACAGCTCTGCACCACGGTGTCTCGGGTTGCATTGCGCCGTATTGCGCTGCTTCTGCTTTGCGCCGCGTTGCACCCCGTTGCACCACATTGCGCTGCATTGCTGTGCTTTGGCGTGTGGTGCTCTGCATTGCGTTGCTTGGCTCTGCATTCCGTTGCGTGGCTTGGCATTGCATCGCATTGCAGTGCAGTGCTTTACTCTACACTGTTTTGCATTGCTTTGTATTGTGTTGCATTGTTTCGTTGCTTCACGTTGCTTGACATTGCGTTGCATTGGCTTTCGTTGCTTTGTCTTGCTCTGCATCTCGGCGCACTGCTTTGCTTTGCATTGCTTTGCATTGGATTGCTTTGCATTGCGTTGCATGTATGTGCATAGATTTGTATTGCATCACATTGTGTTTCATGGCTTCGAATAGTTCTGCACTGCGTTACGTTACTTTTGTCGTGTTGCATAGCTTTGCACGACACACATAGGCTGCACACGACATAGATCGCACCCCATGGCTTGCAACACCTCGACTGCACCTCCGTGAAACAAATGCGACGGGGCACGCGGGAGGTCCCCGCGCCCAGAGCTCCGGGGGCTGGGGGGCACCGTGCTCGAAGCAGGGGCCCCGCAGGGGGACCCGCGAGGATCTCTCGAGGGCCCTGCTTACGGCCGGAGCCGCCGCGACGTCCTGGAGCCCTCGGCCCTCGACGGGCATGGTGGGAGGGAGCGGGCGGGCCGGGAGGGCGGCATTCTGACCCAGGACCACCCCCCGGGGACCACGCCCCCCCCTGATCTCGGGGGCGGAAAAGAGGGGGGTGATGACTAGGGGGGGGGTGGATCTCATGGCGGGAGCCATGATTTTTCCCCAGATCTCATGGCGCCTCTTTTTATTTCATTACGTCCCTGGCCCCCCTGCTGGGCCGCGCACATGCCGCCGGTCATGATTTGCACCCCCCCCTCTTGGACACCCCCCTCTTGGCCGCTCCCGATGATCATTTTCGGGGGAGCGTAAGACCCGGGTTTGCCAGGACTCGGGTTCGCCATCGTTTTTTGACGACCGCGCCTCGGATTTTGGCGAGGAGGAGTTTCATGGGATGTCTGCAGCGGGAGGCCTCGTCAAAATGCAGGCTCGGCCTCGTCATTTTTTTGACGACGTCGTCGGGGATTTCCGAGTCCCCTGTACCCAGGTCTTACGTCCCCCTGATCATTTGATACTAGAATTTTCCAGCCGCGGCCGACGAGAACGGTCGCTCCCGATTTCGCTTCAAATGTCGGTATCGGTCGCGACCGATTTGCTTCGAAATCGGGCGCGACCGATCGGTCGCGATCGGTGGCGACCGGTCGCGACCGATTCGCAATCGGTCGCGACCGATTTGGAGTGCCGATCGGTCGCTACCGATCGCGACCTAAAAAAATCCGGCGGTACCCCCCAGGACCACCCGGCGGTAACCCCGTCCCCGGGGACCACCCCCCGGACCCCCCCCCCCTCCTCCGCGGGGAAGGGATCCAAGGGGAGGGGCTTCATCCCTTCGGCTCGATGACAATGTTGCTTCATTTCGCTGTGGATGGGCCGGTGTGTTTCGCTGTGGATGGGCTGGTGTGTTTCGCGGTGGATGCATGAGGACGAGGGCCAAGGAAAGGGGGGGAGCGGCGACGGACTCAGGGGAAGGAGGGGACGTGATGGCGGCGGCGGCGGCGCGACGGCGGCAGCGACAGCGATGGCGACGGAGCAGCCCCTGTCGCACGGCGACTGGGTCGGCGGATTCTGCTCCGTGCCCCAGGGGCACGGTGGCGGATGTCCGTGCATCGGCGGCCGATCTCCGTTTTTTTGGTAGGACAGGTTGATTTTTCTAAGGCTCGCCGCGGCTGTATGTGTTACCAGCCTGGAACATATCCCTATCCCTAGGCTGGGCACCTCCTCACCACGATGCCAATCTTTGGGATTTCTTATTTTTGGAGGGCGAATCCCTAAGATTGTCATCGCCTTTGGGCGTGTCAATCTTAAGGATAGGGATACGTTCGAGGCTGGTAAATGTGGAGGCGCCGATGGAGCCGTCGCTGGGAACCAGCACCACGGAGGGCGCACGGGCCCCGTGCCACTCTGAGAGGCTGACGTGGCCTCGACGGAGAAAAAAGTGCGATCCCAACGGTCGGCCCAGGCCTCGGCTGCGGCAACTTTCTGCTTGAGCCGCGGCGCGCTTTTCGCTCACGATTCGCACCTGGGGCCCGCTTCCGCATCCTGGAGCTGGCAGAATCAGGTCGCCCCTCGGGCACAGGAGGAAACATCTGTGGGGCCCGCTGGTTGAAACCACTCACATCGCCGGGTGTCTGGGGTGGACGGGGTGCTTAGCATGCTGCTGCTCACGCGGCAGGGTTGCCCCCGGGGGGGGCGCCCAGGAGTGTTGCATGGCGCTGTCCAGAGGCAGTCTGCTCCGGTGCATGCCGCGTCCCTTCCTGCGGCATCCCCTAGACATCTGGCGCTTAATGTTTATCCGATGGGTTAGCACATGGCCCTCTGGACCCCTCCCCTGCTGGCGCCGTTTTTCATCCCGCGGAAGCAAAGACTCCACCCCGTGACCTGCCCCCGCCCCCGAGCCCTCCCACTCCTGGACGCCCCCTTTCCTCCTCCTCCTCCCACCGCCTCCTCCTCCATCCCCGTTCCTTCCAAATCCGCCACCGTGCTGCTGGGCACGGTCTGGGCGTGTCCTCAGGTCCTTTGCCCAATCCTCTAAGCTGAAGTCGGGCGTGTCCCTCTACAGGCAGGAAATTCCAAAATAGTAAAGCAATAGTCTGAGGACGTTTTTTTCCATCCTTTGTACGTATCGTTGGACTGGTTTTACGTTTTCGTCGAAGATCCCCCTGTAGGAGGACATGCCCAACTTACCTCTCAGCCTCGATCCTCGCTCCTGGAGCGCGCCTCCGGCTTCTCCTCCCGCCGAAACCTATTTTTTCTGATGGCCCCGAGGCCCGAGCGTCGGCCTCCAGAGGCCGGGCCCTGCGGCAGAGGGCCCTCTTGGGGGGGTTTGGCAGAGCCTCGCCCGCTCCGCGCTCAGGACGACGCCTGCTTCCGGCATCGCCTCGGGCAGCTCCCCCGTGTCCGGTGTCGTTCCCTCGCCTTCGGGGCCCCTGGGGCTTAGTGGGCCCTGGAAACGACAGGGCCGTTTTTGTTGCCGGTCCCGTTTTGCCGTTTTTTACCGGTTCCGTCGCCGTTGTTTGACCGGTCCCGGCTCCGGCTCCAATCCTGGAGCCGTTTTTGTTGCCGTTTCCGGTCGCCGTTTTCTTGCCGTTTCCATTTTCAAGGGACATGTTTTGTGGAAACGGTGAAAAAACGGCCCTGCCGTTTCCGGGGCGCACAAAGGGGGCAGCTCCCCCGTGTCCGGTGTCGTTCCCTCGCCTTTGGGGGCCCAGCTGGGGGAGGCACCCAGCAGTGGTGCCCACTCGCGGCTCCCCTGACCCACTCTCTCTTTCCCCCGCTCCCCCCCACCCCCCTCCCCGCCCACCTTCCGCGTCGGCTCGGCTCCGCACGGGGCGGGCGGGGATGGCAAGGACAGGCGGAAGATGAGAGCACGCCCAGCTCGACGAGCGGAGGATTCCACGACCAAGTCGGGCATGTCCCTCTACAGGAGGAACATCCAAAAATACTTCAAACATATTACGGGTGCGATTTTTTTGAGTATTTTCCAGATTTTCCATGGTTTCGACGTATTTTCAAATCTTCGTCCAAGAATCGACTGTGGGAAGACATGCCCGACCCAATTCCACGAGGGAAGGACACTGGACACGGGGCGGCTGCCCGAGGCGATGCCAGACGCATGCTCGGAGAGGACCGGGCTCTCCCAAACCCCCTATGGATGGCCTTCCCGGCCTCCTGGGCCTCCAGGTAGGTGGGCACCACTGCTGGGTGCCTCACCCAGGCAGGGGCCCCAACGGCGAGAGCTGCCCGCAGTGGGTTCGGCCCTGCACCCACACCTGCCACAGACTGCAGCGGTGCCCTGCCACGCAAACGTGATGACCACGAGCTAAGGGTGGGGTTGGAGGGGGGAGACGAGGGGAGCCGACGCGGAAGGTGGGCGGGGAGGGGGAGGGGGTGAGCGGGGGAGAGAGGGGGTCAGGGGAGCCGCGAGTGGGGAGGGGGGGGGGCTTCCGCAGAAGCGTGCATGCACCACCCCCTTGCCTGGCCAGAGCCATCCTGGGATCCTGGGATGGTGTCAGGGAGGGGGGGGGGCTTCCGCAGAAGCGTGCATGCACCACCCCCTTGCCTGGCCAGAGCCATCCTGGGATCCTGGGATGGTGTTAGGGGCCCTCCTGGCCACGTCCAGGGGGGCGCAACCACCACTGTACCTGCAGTGAGTTCATGGCCTCCATCCCGTTGTGCGGCAAATGGCTCCAGTGAGCAAGCAGGCTTGCCTTCCTTGAGCTCGCTGCTGCCATCCCGTTGCAGGCATGCCGTCGCAAGTCAAGTGCACTCAGTGAGATCTTTGGCGGCTTCCCCTTGCAATCACGCCGTCGCACGGCGGTCGGTGGTGTACAGTCGGGGCCCTGAAGAAGGAACCCTTTTCGTTGGGGAGGGGCTCCGCGTTCCTTAAGTGTTTCGCAGCTTGCCCCAGGTGTTCCTTAGGTTTTCGATGGGAAATCGAAGTTTAACTTATGGAAAATAGGGGCCTCGTTCCTTATTTAGGGTTCCTTAGGTCAAGACCCTCACTGTATACGGTCAGGACTGAAGGCTTAGCGTGTTGCGCCGCCGGTTGTGGCCCACCATGCTTCGGCGCGGCACGCTATCCACGCTCCCATCTTCGATCGTCGACGTCACGTTCCGCGTAGCGGACTGGCACGCCATCCGCCTGCAGGGCGAAGCGTGTCGCTGGGCATCCGCCGCGGCGACATGCCAGTTCCTGGCCGTGGCCTCCGTGGCAGGGGAGGCCAGGAAGGCTGAGGATCGCGGCTTGCCTCGAGGAGGTCTCGAGGGGACGGCGGGGAGGCGGTGTCTCAGGAGGGGAAAAACACAGACACCATGAGTCGTCGCATCCCAGGGGGATATGGGGAAATATGGGAAGTGGGGGGGAAGACGAAAACCCAGAAAATATATGAAAAATATGGGGAATCCCAGGAGTTATGTGTGTATTTGTGTGTCCTTGGGCCCCTGGACTCTCGAGGGAAGGGCGCCAGCGTCAATACCCCATGCGCCGCCGAGTCCCGAGGGCGGTCCCGAGCCGCCGAATGCCTCCGAGCCCTGCCGGTGCCACGAGAAATCGTCGTCGTCGCCGTTGTCGTCGTCGTCGTCGTCGTCGTCGTCGTCGTCGTCGTCGTCGTCGTCGTCGTCGTCGTCGTCGTCGTAGTCGCGGTTTGCCTCGACAAGGGCTCGAGGGGATTGCGGGGGAGGGGGATTGGAGCTCCCCGCCACCGGGGAGGCTGGCGCCGGCGCCGTGGAGGCCGCGGTGGTTGCCAGCTGGGAGGCGCGGGGGGTGCGGGCGGGGAGCCGGCCAGGTAGTGCCACCGAGGCCTGGCCATCCAGTGCTGGCCATACGTGTTGGCTATCATGTTTCATGGCGCTCCTCGTCTTTCGGGTATGGCCAGGACCCCGGGTAAGGGGACCCGGTTAGCGGTAGGGCCCCGGGGCCCTCGAATCGGCCAGAATCACTAAACCAGGTCTGCCGCAGCTGGTGTTTTTTCGGGTGACGGCTCCGGTTAGCGGAAACGGGGCGGGGGGCGCCCCCGGTACAGATCACTAAAGCCAGTTCTGCCAACGCCCGAGTCTTCTCCCCGCCTCACGCATGGGGGCAACTGGTAACTCCAGATAGCCCGGGTCGCCTGGAGGCGCGTGCGCACGGCCTCTGCCGCGCCGCGACCGAAAAAAGGGTTCTCCTGCCATGTGTCGCTAAGGGTAAAAAGTGTTCGCTGCAAAATGAGGCAAAGACCCAGACAGGCGACGTCCTGATTTGTTCAGGACGGCGTCCCCGGGAATCACGACCCTTTCCCCGGGGCCGGCTTCTCATCCTGATCAGTAGTTTTTTCACGGTCCCAGGGCCCGGCGAGGGCCTCTACAGGCCAAAAACGGGGAAACACCTCCGTCCTGAATTTTTCACGACGCGATCATGTCTGGGGAGTTGAAAGCGTTCGGGACTCTGGGATGGCGAGTCGCTCCGTTGGATCTGGCCCACCACGCTTCGGCGCGACACGCTGACCCGAGGCGTCAAGATCCCGAGCCATGTCTGGCCTCCCGCCAGGCGCGGCGGAGCGGCGCGCTAGATCCACATGCAGGGCGAAGCATGTCGCCCGGGCCGCCTCCTCCCCCCCCCCTCCCCCTCCCCCTCCTCCTCCTCCCCCTCCTCCTTCGGAAGCGACTCTTTAAATGGTTCGGGATTGCCCCTGAATGTTCTCATATGTTCCCATGGTCGGAGGTGCGAGGTGCGCTCGAGATGTCCCCCCCATCCTGGCGCTTTGCGGCACTCCGTACCTGGACAGGGGGTTGGGTCACGGACGCCCGACTGCGTAATGTCGACAGAGGCTGCCTGCTCGGCTGTGAGTGCCGAGATAGCCTAGCTCACTATACCTATACGACCACCCTTCGGGTGATAAGGAGGTTCGGGGGGGGGGGGGGGGAACCAACATCTCACTCGATCGGTCTCACTATCGATCTCACTATCGATCTCAGTATCGGTCTCGCTCGATCGATCTCCCTCGATCGCTCTCACAATCGATCTCACCCGATTTGTCTCACAATTGATCTGACTATCGATCTCACAATCGATCTCACAATCGATCTCACATTCGATATCACATTCGGCCTCACTATCGATCTCACTAACGATATCACAACCACTCTCACAATCAACGTCATCATCATCATCATCACCAACAACAACATCAACATCAACATCGTCATCACCAACATCATCATAATCGGGACACCGTCATCATCATCAACACCAACATCATCATCACGGTCATCAACATCATCGGGACACCACCATCATCATCATCACCGTCATAACAATCATCATCATCAGCAGCAACGGGACAAAGTCATCATCATGATCATCATCATCAGCAGCAGCGTCATCATCGGGACACCATCATGATCACCATCGTTATCATCATCAACATCATCATCATCATCGGGACACCATCATCATCATCTTATCCTCATCATCGACATCCTCATCATCAGCATCATCAACATCATCAGCATCAGCATCATCATCGTCATCACCGGGGCACCATCATTATCATTACCAACATCAGCAGCAACATCATCATCATCACCATCGGGACGCCATCATCATCAACATCATCAGCATCAGCACCATCATAATATTCATCATCATAGGGACGCCATAATCATCATCAGCCTCATCATCATCAACATCGTCATCACCGGGACACAATCATAATCATCATCATCAACATCAGCATCATCATACTCATCATCATCGTGACACCATCATTATCATCATCACGATCATCAACTTAATCATCATGACCATCATCATCCTCATCACCGGGACACCATCAGCATCATCATCATCACCATTATCATGATCGGCATCATCATCATCACCGGGACACCATCATAATACAATAATTTTCATCATCGTCCTCATCATCATCAGCATCATCATCATCAGCATCACCATCATCAGCATCATCATCATCGTCATCATCATCATCAGCATCATCATCAGCATCACCCTCATCATCATCATCATCATCATCATCACCATCATCATCATCATCATCATCATCATCATCATCATTATCATCATCATCTCATCATCATCATCAGCAGCATCATCATCATCATCAACATCATCATCATCATCATCATCATCATCATCATCATCGGGATCATCATCATCATCATCATCATCGCGGGACACCGCGGGACACCGGCGGGACACCGCGGGGCACCGCGGGACACCGTGGGACACCGCGGGTCACCGGTCGCCCGGTCAAGGTTCTTTTGGTCCGGCCTTGCCTCAGCCACAGCAGACTTTTTCTCGCCCGCACGCACGGCACGCACGAACACGAAACCGAAATCGATTTCCCGGTAGGGGGGGCTCTCCGTTCCACTTCGATCTCACCCCTCACCTCCGATCCACTGCCCCTCTTTCCACTGGCTCATCGCCATGGTCTCTGGCCCTCGCCTGGGTCCCCCTCCTGCCATTGAGCCCGTCCCTGCTCGCCTCGCCCTCCTTCCACGCACGCCATCCCATTTCAGAAGACTGGTGATTTTCTATCACCTGCATCGTCTCTTCCACGCGCGCAGCAGGCGATCCATCCACCGCCCAGCGTCGCAGGAGGAGTTTCAAATAGCCCAGGCCGCCCGCCTCGCCACGGATCTCGCAGATGGGACGTGGCGGAGGCGAGAGCGAGGGCAAGCGTAAGGAGAGACTGTCCCTCGGTGACGCTCCGCCTCCTCCTCCTCCTCCTCCTCCTCCGCCTCCTCCTCTCCCTCCTCCTCCTCCTCCTCCTCCTCCTCATCCTCCTCCTCCTCCTCCGCCTCCTCCTCCTCCTCCTCCTCCTCCTCCTCCTCCGCCTCCACATGTATGCGGAGCCGACTGGCTCAATGCGGGTCCGCCGCAGAACTCCCGACCCCTTTCTCTCGGCATCGTTTGACCCATCCCCATCACCATCCTCATTCCCTCTCGAGGCCCCCACCAAGTTACCACCCCAGTTGGGCATACACCCCTCGAAACCCGAAGGGAACGGCCTGTACCCCCATCTAGGGAGGGAAATCGACCAGTGGGGCCCAGGCCTCGCCCCAGGGGATGGGGAACGGTTACAAGATACTCACTATCCAGGGCCAGCTCTGCATCCTGAGTGTCCCCGTAGACGCGCCGACGGTGAGTTAGCTAACGGCGATGTAGGACAACCAATTGTAGGAAGGCGTGGTCCGTGGCCAAACCAATTGTAGGAGCGCGTGGTTCGTGCTTTCCTGCAACTCGCTGTGTCGATGTCGTTCGATACGTTCGCACACCTGAAACGTAGGACACGGTGTTCTGTGATGTCCTACATCTTATTCTGCGTGAGGCGGTGCCACTAAAACTATATTCCCAACCGCACCGTTAACCAAGCACGCCGTTGGCGCGGCCTTGGTGGTTTCTGGACTGCCGTGGGGCCGAGAGATGCCCTCCTAGCCACCGAGACGAAGACGAAGGGGTCTCGACTGGGGGTGTCTCGAGTCGCCCGGGGGGCCGGGGGGCCGCCCTCAGCCTGGAATAAAAGGGGGTGGAGGAAGATGAGGAGGAAGAGGAGGAGGGCGGAGGGCAGGGGCATATCCCTCGCCTCTGACAGTAGGGGAAGGAGCAGGATGCAGATTGGGAGGAGGAGGAGGAGGAGGAGGAGGAGGAGGAGGAGGAGGAGGAGGAGGAGGAGGAGGAGGAGGATGAGGAAGAGGAAGGAGGAGGAGGAGGAGGAGGATGAGGAGGAGGAAGGAGGAGGAGGAGGAGGAGGAGGAGGGGGAGGAGGCCTCCGCCCAGTTTGGCTCCAGGCGCTGGAGGTTTGCGCCGGGGCGACCAGCGGCGAGAGCGGGTGACAGACAGAGCGCGGAGGAGCCGGGGGAGGAGGGAGGAGGGGGCGAAACACGGAAGAGGAGGGAGGGGGGAGGAGGGAGGAGGGAGGAGCGAGGAGCGAGGAGGGAGGGGTCCAGGAGCGAGAGGAAGAGGGAGGAGGGAAGAGCGAGGAGCGAGGAGCGAGGAGGGAGGGGTCCAGGAGCGAGAGGAGGAGGGAGGGAGGAGGGAGGAGGAAGGAGGGAGAGGAGGAGGGAGGAGGGAGGGAGGAAGGGAGGGAGGAGGGAGGAGGGGGCCAGGAGCGAGAGGAGGAGCACCTGGGGCGAAGCAGCGCGCCCGGCCGACGCGCGGGGCAGCGGCTGCACAGGGAGGCGTCCCGCGGACACACCCTGCCCCCGAGTTCCAGGGTTCAGCTGGGCCTGTCCCTCTTACGGGGCGTGAAAAGGGCCACAGCCACTGGTCTTCTTTTCTTGCCGCCTTCCAGCCCGCAGAAACAAAGCAGTGGTTGTGGTCATGTTCGTTGAGCGTGGCACCGGGGACATGACCACAACCACTGCTTCTCTTTCGGCCGGCTGGAAGCCGGCGCAAACAAGAAGCAGTGGCTGTGGTCAGTTTCCCGTCCCGCACCTCTACAGAGAGAATATTCAAGCACAGTTTAAAAATAGTCCGGGGACGACTTTCTGGTATCTCTTGGCTATGTTCGGATCTTCGTTGACTATTTTGCATTCTTCGTCCGAAACCCCCCTGTTGAAGGACGTGCCCGACCTGATGCCGGAGCGGGCCCTCCCGGGGATGGGGAGGCCTCGCCGCGGCCCCCCGACAACGAAAAACAGCTGCCGTGCGAGCTCGTGGGGGGGGGGCTTGTCGGCCGGGGGTGCGGCGTTGGTGAGAAGCGATGCCCTAGGCTCAAACGACGCGAAGATCGGGACAAAATCGGATCGGGATAACTCGAAATCTCTGAGAATCGGCGGGTTTGGAGGATGTATTGGGCGCCGCGGCCGCTCCAGAGCGTTCCGGAACGCTCTGAGAGCGCTCCGGAACGCTCTGGAGCGGTTTATCCCGATCCTAGCTCTGTTCTATAGGCGGAACGAGATCCCCTCGCAGGGCTCGTTTCGATTCCTCCGAGGCGATTCGATTCGATTTGAATTCGAGAGCCGGCCCTCCCGGGGACGAGGAGACCTCGCCGTGGCCCCCCCCGACAAAAAAATCAGCTGCCGTGTGAGCTCGTGGGGGAGGCTTGTCGTCAGGGGGTGCGGCGTTGGTGTGAAGCGATGCTCTCGGTGGGCCCAGCTTTGATTCAGCATCGGTCGCGACCTATCGGTCCCGATCGTTGGCGACCCATCGCGACCGATTTTGGGATCGGTCGTGATCGGTCGTGACAGATCTGGAGTGCCGATTGGTCGCCACCGATCGCGACTTTAAAAAATCGGTATCCAACAATATGGGGGGACCCTCACCGGGCCGCGGGACCGTCCAGAAACGGCTCAGGATGAGAAACTGGCCCCGGGGAATGGGTCGAGACCTCTGGGGGTCGACGTCATGAGAAAATCGCGACGTCGGATCTCTGGTTTCCCAGACACCCGACGGATTGAGTTTTGTTCACAACGTCGACCCCCACAGGTCTGGACCCCTTCCCCGGGACCAGTTCTTCATTCTCGAGTCGTTTTTGGACGCTCCCGGGGCCCGGCACGGGCTTCCAGGAGCCGACAATAGCGAAAGACCTCCCCTCGTGATTTCTTCACGACGCGAGAAGGTCTGCCTTTGTTCGGGTTGACCGAAAAGGGGGTCCAGCGACAGGGGGTGGTGCAATAGATTCGGTGCAATAGATTTGTGGGGTTACATTTACATTTGGGGCGTGCAATACACTCCTTCCGGGGCACAAATGTATTGCTGCATTTTCGCGTGCAAAACATGACTTGCAGTACCATGCAGCAGAAGCCTCTGGCGCAACACATTTGCAGAACAATGGCCCGACATCTATCGCACCGGCCCCTTTCAGCTCGACCCTCTTTTGGGTCATCAAAATTTGTGTGCAACGATGCCCTCGGCGGCACGGGAGGCATGAGGAGGAGTAGTAGGAGGGGGAGGAAGAGGAGGAGGAGGAGGAGGAGGAGGAGGAGGAGGAGGAGGAGGAAGAGGAGGAGGAGGAGGAGGAGGAGGAGGAGGGAGGAGAGGGGAGGAGGAGGAGGAGGAGGAGAGGAGGAGGAGGAGGAGGAGGAGGAGGGGTACGAGCGCCTCCCCCTCCCGCCGCGCAGGGGCCCGCCGGCGGCCCGGAGAGCCGCGGGGGCGCCCGGGCGCTCCGCGCCGAGCCCCCGGGCGGCCAGGCGCGCGGGCCGCGAGCTCTGCGGGGGCCCGCTGCCGCTGGCCAGGCCCGCGCTGCGCCATGGGCTTCGGAGTACAGGGGAACAACAATGAACGGGCGAAGAACGGTATAGCATAAACTTTTTCGCCGTCGGGGACGCCTGCCCCTGGGCGGCTGGAAAGTTTATACCCTTACGGTGGCACCGTAGGGGTATAAACTTTCCAGCCGCCCAGGGGCAGGTGTCCCCGACGGCGAAACAGTTTATTTTATACCATTCTTCGCTCGCTGAAACAAGTGACACAAACATAAAAACTCGGAGGCCCGCGCGGATTTTTCGGATCCGCGCTGGGCCCCCGGCGGCGCCTCCGGCGCCGCCCCTGGCGCTCTCCGCGCGCCAGGGAGGGGGGTCCAGCGCCGATCCGAGAAATCCGCGCGGACCTCCGAGTTTTTCTGTTTATGCCATTTTTTGTTCCCCTGGAGTAAGCGTGGGGAGGGTCTCCCCCCCGACGGGGGGTCGGCCTCGCCGCGTCGTCGCGCCGCGAGCGGGGGTCGGAGCGCCTTTCGGCGCGCGGCGGCTGCCCGCGGCGGGGGCCGACGTGGGGGGCTGTTTCGGCGGGGGCGACGCCCCCCCGACGCTTGCTGAGAGAAGCTCGGGGTACAGTCGAGAACCCTACTGAGGACGCGCGACTTTGCTCAGGGTGCTAAGGGCTTCCAAGGGTCCGGCGTCCTTACCGCGCGTCCTCCTTCGGGTTTTTGACTGCAGGTCCAGGAGCGGCGGGGGCCCCCGGCCCTCGGGGGCGCCCCGCAGGCACGTCGTGTGTCAGACAAGTGAGCTCGACCCGCCAGCAGGTGCCCCCCACTGGAGAGCCCTCGGATTCCCCCCGAGGGCCCCAATGGGCCCGCAGGAGCTCCGGGGCGGCGCCGCCTGGGCCCTCAAGTGGTCGACGAAGAGATGGGCCCCGAGCGAAGATTCCTGCCTGGCACGATGGCCTCGCCGCGTGCGCCTGCTGCATGCCGTCGGGCCGCTGAAGCAGGATCCCCTGCTCCCACTGGTGAGGGGCTCGGTGCTCCCTCCTTGTTTCAGAGTCTGTCTCAGGTGTGCCTCAGGTCTTGTATGGGCAATCGAGGTTCCACGCATGGAGAAAAGGGGGGCCTCGCTTCTTACTTTCATCCGGGTTCCTCGTGACAGCATTTCCACTGGAAGTACGGGCCCTCCCAGGTCGACGACAAACGTGCCCCAAGCTTTCTTCTAGCAAGAGCTCTTCTGGCAGGAGTTCTCGGAGGCCCGCGCGGATCCTTTTGGCTCGGCGTGGCGCGCGGAGCTGCGCCAAAAGGCTGCGCCAGAGGCGCCGCCGGGGGGGGGGTCCAGCGCAGATTCAAGAAGTCCGCGCGGGCCTCCGGCAATCTGTGGTTTACCTCGGGGTGTCTTCGGTTTTGACCCCCCTCCTCTTTCTTCAATCGGCGAGTATGACAAGTCCTAAAGCCTCTTCCGCCTCCTCCTCCCCTCTCTCCCCCTCCTCCCTCTCCTCCTCCTCCTCCTCCTCCTGCTCCTCCTCCTCCTCCTTCTCCTGCTCCTCCTTCTGGTTGTCGTCGTCGTTCTTGCGCGGTGGATGCCGCGGAACAAAATGGCCAGTTACCCCCGATGGGTGGGACCCCAGCCCTTCAACAAGGCCGCCGAAGACACAACCAGCTGTCCCCTGCCGGGCGCGGGGGGGAGGGGGGTCTTCTGCCGAGGACGTAGACCGCTCCAGGACGTGTCTGGCCAGGGGGCAGCGCACCTGCGCAGAGCTGGGCGGCCGCGAACCAGGCGAGAGAGGGCGCGGGGTGGTACGGAGACGGCACGGAGCTCCTGGCCGAGGCGCTGAGGCACCGGGCGGAGGAGCGCGCCTTTCGCCCCCCCCCCTCCTCCCCCCCCCTCCTCCTCCTCCTCCTCCTCCTCCTCCTCCTCCTCCTCCTCCTCCTCCTCCCCCTCCTCCTCCTCCTCCTCCTCCTCCTCCTCATCCTTCTCCTCGTCCTCCCGTCTCTCCCCTCTGTCCTCCTTTTCAGGTCGTGTCGTGCTCTCCTCCCCCCCTTGGCTTGGGCGACCTGCTGAGCCCGCGCGTCCCCTCCCCTAGGGCACGCGGAAGGGCCAGCAGCAGCAGCTCCCCCGCACTGCCCCGATGGGACTCGCGTGTAAGGTAGCGAGCCTCTCTTACGGGGCCACCTCGGAGCTCGGTCCTTGAGCTTCGGATCATGCCCCCTGCCGGCCCTAGTGAGAAAGCAGGGCTGTAGCACAACCAAGCGCAGGGGATTTTGGCAATAGCGCGTCGATCACCCGTGTAGGTGCTCTGACGTTATCCCTTCATGCGGATGTCCTTGTCCTTGTCCTCCTCCTCCTCCTCCTGCTCCTCCTTCGCCGCTGCCCCTGTTGCTCACCGCCCACCAAACCACCCCCGCCCAACCCGAAGGCCCCGATGTGCCCTCCATTTCCAGTGGGGAAAGGGGGGTCGGGGAGCATCGAACAAAACCACGCCCCCCCCCCCGTCAGCCCGAAATGCGAGTCTTCGGGTTGGGTCGGGGTGGTCCGGTAGGCAGTCAATTGCAGATCAGCCGCCGCCCGACGGAGAAGCAACGACAGCACGGCCAGCAAACTCCTGAGGGTCTGCAATGATGCGCGCTGGACCCTCACCAGTCATGGCGCCAACCTCGCAGCGAGCGCATTTTGTTCGGCAAACCAGAGGTTGGGCCTGCAATGTCCTGTAGCATGTCGTTCCAGATTTCGAAGTGAATTTCAAACAACCATCCACAAACAAACAAACAAACAAACAAACAAACAAACATGCACATGAAACTCACATTGTGTTTCGTTCGCCGTTTCGGGTTCTTGCATTGACGAAAGTCCGCTGCAGCACGTCTGCAAGGTCGGCGCAGTGACACCATAGGAGGAAGAGGTACAGCCTGACCGAGATATGAGATCGAGGTCGCCACCGTTCGACAGAGAAGCAACGACGGCACGGACAGCAAGCTCACGGCCAACGAGCGTCTGCACCGCTCGGCGCTGGGCGTTCACTGGTTCACCAGAGGAGGAAAAGGTGCAGTCCGACCGAGGCATCCTCAAGTCGGGCTCGTCCCTCTACAGGACGGATGTCAAAAAGTAGTAGAACATAGTCTGGTGTTAACTATTCTTCATTTTTCTTTCAAGAATTCGCCTGTAAAGGGACCTGCCCGACCTAAAGGTATCGTGACGAGGTCGGTTCGGGGAGGATGCCGTGATGTTCTGCGTGTGTGTTGGAAGTTGTTGTTGGTGCATCCTGGGGGAGGGCACCCTCGAATGTTCTTCAGTTGGGGCTGGCGGAGGGCTTCATGTTCTTGACGGATGGTCTTCTGCCCTAGGTACGACTGTACCCATACCGCTACCCTCCCGTTGTCATCACGGCTTGATTCGCCCCGAAATCCTTGGTCAGAACGCACCCCAGGAGAGGTCCGAGGAGCAGCACCTCGAAGTGCCAGAAGTGCACCTGGCCCAGGGCGATCCCTGGATCCCCAGGGAGACGCAAATCCCCCCCAGAGCACACCCCTCAAGAGGCCCAGAGGACCCGATAAGGTCCAGCATAGCGAGAATGGCACCTCACGACTCAGGGCTGGGATCCGTGATCGGTCCCTGGGGGTGCTATTTCAGCATCGAAGCAAGGGACAGTTGCCATAGAGACTACGTCCGACCACTGCGTAGGCGACCTGAACGAGACGCCAAGAGACCCCAAAGACCGCCGCCCCAGTCACCGCCATGACAGCCCATTGCGCTCCATCCGCGCCAGAAGGACCCTCAAGAGGGCCGCCACAGGCATCGACTGCAGGATTGTGTGTTCTTTGGCACAGCAAATCGACTTATAGCTTTTCCTCTGATTCTCGAGCCTCTCAAGCCATGAACGGCCCAATCTGCACCCCATGTTAGCTCGAGACAGACAGCCCAAGCGCCAGACTGGCTCGAAGCAGCCCAAGAGTCGGGCTGGCTCGCGGCAGCCCGGGAATGCAAGAGTGCCAGGGCTGCCCGCTCCGGAGACAGCCAGTCATGCCCCAGCCGGGTCGAAAAGTGAGGATCTTGCCTCACACCGGCCGGCCTAGGAGAGACGGCTCCCAACGCAAGCGAAAGAGATGGGGGAGAGGGGATCTGGACGTCAGACACTGCGCGCGCAGCTAGCTTCCCCCCTCTGCCCATCCTCGCCCTCTTCTCTCTGCCCTCACCCAGAGGACGACTAGATGGGGTCGGAGTAGATGGGGTCGGAGGATCGCGCCGCGTCGCCGATGCATCGGCGATGCATCGTCGATGCACCGGCGACGCATCGTCGACGTGGGCGATGCATCGGCGACATCGGCGTGGAGAACATCGGGCTCCACATCGAGCTGTATCGGCGGTGCGTCGAGCTGTATCGCCGATGTATCCCCGATGTGTCGCTGGTGCGGCGTGATCTTCCGACCCCATCTACTCGGACCCCATCTAGGAGGCCTATATAACCACCCTCGCCTTTGAATCAGGTCGGCTCGTTGGCGGAAGGGGGCGAGTTTAGGCTTTTCGGTCAGCGGGGAGGGCGCCCAGGACCCGGAGCGCGGTGGTGTTCCTGGATATGATATCACGGCGTACGGTCGACCCGTCAAGCGAGTTACTTACCGAACCTGAATCAAGGGAGGAACAACCACCCGGACACAACTATTGGCGTTTGCTAGACAGCCCTGGGCGTTTACTAAACAGCCTTGCCCTGTTCGATTCCTTCTTTGGGCGCGTTTACTCTAAAGGGCTTCGCGTGCCGGGGTGGTCGTCCTGGGGGTGGACATTTAGACCTCTGCTTGAGTGATCGGCCTGCCAGCATGCACCCCACGGACATTCCCCATGCTCGGCCCCAGAGGGGCCTGCAGAAGCCCTGGGGCGCGTCGGGAGCCCCACAGGATCGACATGAAGAACGCGCCCATGGATCTCTTGCAGCCAGCTTCCGCATCGTGTGTGCCACCCGCGTCCCCCCCCCCTCATCGAGGATACAGGAGCCCCTAGACTTGATAACGCAGTGAAGACGTGGCCTCTCCTAGGCCCCCGTCGTTGCATCAGGGATAAAACAAATCTGGGCGGTTTGGATCGACGCATCTGCAGAACAAATAACCCTTTGTCCGTCGTGTTTCCTGGCCCTCCTTCCTTGGGTCCCATCCCAAGAGGGTGAGGGGCACTTTCATATTGCTAATCCCTCCCTCTCCACCTCCACCTCCTCCTCCTCCTCCTCCTCCTCCTCCTCCTCCTCCTCCTCCTCCTCTTCCTCCTCCTCCTCCTCCTCCTCCTCCTCCTCCTCCTCCTCCTCCTCCTCCTCCTCCTCCCCCTCCTCCTCCTCCTCCTCCTCCTCCTCCTCCTCCGCCCCATGCCCGCGCAATGGGCTTCAACATGATGCTGATGAGATTGCTCCTCCTCCTCCCCCTCCTCCTGCTCCTCCTTCCCCCCCCCCGCCCCCGCCCCCGCGCGCCCAGCGGGCCAGCGCGAAGGGCGACCTCCTGCCCTCAGGCCGCGCCGCCGCCGGCCAGCAGGCCGCCCGCACCCCTCGGCCGACGAGGGGCCCCCTCGGCCGAATCCGACAGGCGGCGAGCTCCTCCTCCTCCTCCTCCTCCTTCTCCTTCTCGTCGTCGTCCTCCTCCTCCTCCTCCTCCCCCTCCTCCTCCTCCTCCCCTCCTCCTCCTCCTCCTCCCTCTCCTCCTCCTCCTCCTCCTCCTCCTCCTCCTCCTCCTCCTCCTCCTCCTCCTCCTCCTCCTCCTCCTCCCCCGCCCCATGCCCGCGCAATGGGCTTCAACATGATGCTGATGAGATTGCTCGTCAGGCTGTACGCCTTGCCGAGGCTGGTCACCGTGGACGGCGTCGCCATGGGCTGGTGCAGCCCGAGGCGCGGTGTGGTGGCGGGCTGCAGCTTTGCCGACCTATGCATGCCGCGGCTGGACGAGATCGTGGCGCTACGCACGGTGGACGTGGGCAACACGGTCGACGACATCCAGCTCAGCAAGGTCGGGCCACCAAGAGCTGTGGCAGCCAACGTCAGTGCGGCCTACAAGAGGATTCGTGACGTCCTCTCGGCGGATGGGCTCGTCGTCAACGATGGCAAGGGCGTCGTGCTGTCCAACTCGTCCGACTGCGGGCGCGAGGTCACGAGGCGCTGTCGCCCCCTGCGCGGCAAGCTCAAGAGCTCGGCGAGGAACCTGGGCATCGACTTCGCCAGCGGGCGCCGCGCGGGAGTGAGCACGCGGGCCAAGCGCACTGCTACAGTCCTGCGCCGTGCTGCACGCATTCGTGTGCTCCGTGTGGCTCGAGGGAGAACACGGCAGCTGGTCAGCCTTGGGCTGGCGCCAGCGGGATGTTGGGGTGTGGGTGTGACTGGGAGGGCGTGGGGTGGTATCGAACCGATGAGGCGTGCTGCGCATTCTGCCCTGTTTGTGCACACCGCTCGTCGCTCGCTCGACATCGACCTCCACATCGCCCCTGCCTCCCCGTGGTGTGCGGACCCCGCCAATGCATGCACTGCAGGACCCATCATCATGCTGGCTCGGCTGATTTGGTCCTCGCGGGTTCCCAGGGACTCGATTGCCAGGTTGACGTTTACGTCCGAGGCCGCTTTCCTGGCCGACCCGTCCAAAAGTGACTGGCCCCTGGTTAAGGACCCGATCTCGGCCGCCGTCGCCAGCTGCCGTCGGATAGGGTGGAGGCTCGGCCCTGGAGTGTGCATGCTTTTAACGCACGAGGGGGCTAACATCGACTTCGCTCGTATGTGCCCCCGTTCAGTGTTGCATGTGGTCCGATTCACTATCGAGGGCTGGCTGTTCGATCGTGCTCAAAGGGGTTGCGAGTTCCTGTCGAGCCTCTGTCACCATCCCTATTTGTTTCCCCTCCGCAGGCTTTACAACGGACCGTGCGGTCCAGACTGGACCCCTCGGCACCAGGCCAGTCTCCGTGCGATAGCCGCGAACGGGATATGGGACCAGGCTCGGAAGTTTCGGCATGGTCTGACGACCGACCCGTCGTGCCCCCTTTATGCGGATGTTGCACAGGCACCTTTGTCGCGTGGATCGCGGGGGAGTGCCTGGCCACTTGGCAGTATGTTCGAGACTACGACCTCCCCCCCCTCCGTCTGGTCAGGTCTCCGCGAGCACCCCGACGGGGCCCTCTGGAGGCATGGCCTGGTTCCCGACCCTCGTCCCTGGGTGCCTGGCCCGTCTCTCTCCCCCCTGGTCCGCTGGATCAAGCGCCCGCTGGACGGACACTTTGAAGGAGAGGCCGTCGGAGACGGCTCGTGCACAGCGCTGGTGCAGGGCGACCAGCGCCTCAGTCGGGCGGGCTGGTGTGTAGTGCAAGTGGACGGCTTCGGGTCTCTCGTGGCGTCTCTGCGCGGCCTGCTGCCTGGTCCGCACCAGGCCTCGGACCCTGCTGAAGCGTATGGCCTGCTTATGTATCTCACGCACGTTTCGCTTGGCCCCTTTCGCTACCACACGGACTGCGAATGGGTGGTCACGAGTTTCCAGCGAGGCCGAGCTGAGACCACGGGTGCCTCGTGCGAGGGTGCTGACGTGTTGTCTCAGATATGGGAACGGGTGGACGACTTGGGGGGAGGGGTCGAAGTGCTGCAAGTCAAGGGCCACGCCCGACGCCGTCACGACGATGTGCAGGAGCGTGGTGCCGTCGCGAGGTGGGGGAACCATCACGCCGACGAGGGCGCTCGCAAGGGCGCGGCACTGCACCCGTCGGATGCCGTGGCGAGTGCGCGCGTGCAGCGCTCTGTCAAGTTGGTCACGTTTGTGGCCAAATTTCTGGCCAGGACCCTGCAGGCCGTCGGCCCCCAGTCGCAGTCGGCGCCCCGTCACGGGCAGCTGCGGCGGGTGCAGAGGCGGGGGCCGACGCCAGCCCTCTCGGCGGACAAGGAGCCGCCCTCCGGTGTGCATGTGCCCGTGCCCGCGCCCAAGGGAGGTGTCAGATGTGCGAGGTGCTTCCGCGTCGCTCGGCACAGCGAGGCCTTCGACCCTCCCGCGTGTGCCCCAGGCGGAGGGCACCGTGTCTGGCACGTGGGCCAATTCGTCTTCTGCGCCACGTGCGGTGCGCACTCGGGCGGGAATGCGCAGCTGCTGGCGCAGCCTTGCCACGGCGGGATGCCCCCAAGACGCGCTTGCGTTTAGACCATCTCTGGGAGGGCCTCCACCCTCGCACTGGGCGGCCGCTGCTGCCTTCTGCAAAGGGTCAGCCGAGGCCACGCCCATTCGGCGAGGTCGTCATCGACGCCACCCTCGGGGGATTGGCCGTGGTCGGCGACGATCATGCCGAGTAGGGGTGGCTTCCTGACCCGTCCTCGAGTGGCACTCCCGTCGGGAGGTGCCCGAGTTATTTTCTTCGTGTCAGGCGTCTGTCTGAGTCCGCTTGCGTCGCCTGCGCACGCTTGTGGCCCCGTCTGGATAAAAAAATACTCCTCCTCGTCCTCCTCCTCCTCCTCCTCCTCTTCCTCCGCCACGCGGTCCGATCCGACAGCACTTGCCCGACTCCCCCCCTGTATCCCAGTCGGCGGCGAGCTCGGGGAGGAAGTGAGAAGGGGCGCGGTTCCCAGAAGGCTCGGGACTCCCCGGGGCTCCTGAGAAGTTGTCCTGGCCTTCCCCGAAGACAAAACTGACAACTTCTCGGAAGGCGCGAGGGCTTCTGAAAAAGTCTCGCCGCCTTCTGAGAAGGCCTTCTGCTTCTCATTTCCCCACTCGCTCGCCGCCAACAGGCATTTTGCTTCGGCCGCCTTGAAGGCTTCACGATTTGGTCGGGCATGTCCCCCCACGGGCGGATTCTGGAAATAGTCAAAACATCATCAAACATAGCCAGAAGAACACGAACCATCGTTCCCAGATGTTTTTTTTTCTCTCTACGGTTCTTGGACGTTCCTCCTGTGGAGGGACATGCCCGACTTATCTTTACGACTTTTCGCCAATCGATCTGTAGATATCAGCCAGACAGGTCGAGGCAAACGTAAAGACATCGAGGCACAGCAGCGTAAGTCCAGAGAGATCCACGCAAGTGCAAGTGCAGAGACCTCCAGGGAAGTTTGGAGCAACTCGTGGCCGCTCAAGCGCGAGTCGAGGGACGACAGAAGTTGCGAGGCCCTCCCGCAACGAGGAGCGATCCTCGCCCGAGAACGCGACGCGGCATCTCCAGGGAGCACCAGCACGCTTCGGGCGGGCGGTCGTCGTGTGCCGCCGGGGCCCTGAAGAAGGAACCCTTTTCGTTGGGGAGGGGCTCCGCGTTCCTTAAGTGTTTCGCAGCTTGCCTCAGGTTTTCCTTATGTTTTCGATCGGAAATCGAAGTTTGATTTATGGAAGAAAGGGGCCTCGTTCCTTATTTTAGGTCCTTAGGTCGAGGCCCCGACTGTACCACCGTTGTGCATCGAAGGCACGTCGCGGGATATCGGGATACCCAGGAAACACGCGCACACTCTGGACCAAGCGGCCGCGGTATGCAGGGTGTGCGAGGCGGATCGGGAGTTTCCCTGTTGCGCAATCAAATTGCCCCAGCCTGTCTCGGTTGGAGAATGGAGACGATGGGTTTCACAGTCTTCTGCCTGCTTGGGTATCGTTGGTTCTTGTATGCTTTCGTTTGCTGTTGCAGGTTTTCTCTCGCCTCGGGATGCTCGCCAGCAGCTGCGCCGCGGCGAGAGCGTTCCGGGCTGCACGGATTGCGTCGAAAGGCCAAGACTCCAGCCCAGCGGGCACAAGCAAGACGGCTGCTGTGCGTCGTGTTCGGCCTATGGGGGGGCTCGGCCAGGCACTGGGGCCGTCAACTAAGTGACTCGGGGCGAAGTTGAAGACCGTCGGCGCAGGGTCGGGACTTGCATATCAAGTGTGATAAAGAAAAGCTGTGGAACTCAAACCTGCGATACAAGAACACGCGTTTTAGCACAGTTGTTGATCACTCTTGTTTATCACATTTGGCCGGGACTTGCGTAAGAAAGATGCGAAAGGACCCGATCCGTTGCAGTGACGGGCCTTGCAGGGACAATGGCCATCTTAGAGGCAGCGCGCCGTGAGAGGGATGGAGCCCTGGGCCACGCGGACGGGTGCCACACAGCGTGCGGGGTGCTTGCCGGCATGGGGGGGTACGCTGTGCGAGCCCTGTCGCCGGGGTCAAGTCAGAGAAACAGTCAGGGGAGGATGCTTCTACTATTTTTGGGCACGTGTTGCTTATGTCTTGAATCTACGTTTTTCATCCAAAATCCCCCTGTAGGGGGACAGGCCCGACCTAACGCTGGGGCCTTCGGTGGAGCCACCCTATGGGGGCCCCAATGCGCGTCAGGGCTGTGCAGAAATAAGCATGGAAAGGCTCTGCGAACCCTGCTGGTGGGGCCTTCGATGGGCCACGGAACGTGCGGGGCGTGTGCGGAAAATGTGCGGGAGGACGCGGCGCGAACCTTGCCGGAGGGGCCTTCGATTGGGCGCCCGATGGGGCCACGAACGGCTTGAGGAGTGTGCAGACATGAGCTGGGAGAGGCGAATTACGCG